CAAAGCCAGCCAACTCTGACATTTGGCCACTTCAAAAGGCTTAAGGAGAAAATAAATATTGTTGGTTTTAACTCAATTAAGTTTACCCAACTGGAAAAGAAAACACACCAACCGAATTGGATTGAATTCTAAAGTGGTATCAAGTTTCCTTTGAATAAACACACGAAAACATTTTCTAAATTTTATTCTATGCTTGCCTTTTTGTTTGTTTGGATTAATTTCCCAGCGCTTTCATCGATCCAAGTGAAAATGCAGTGGCAGTGGCGTTGAATGAATTATTTATAACCTACGGTTAGAAGCAAGCTGTTGGCCAAAGGGGAAAAATGTCTTCTTCGATTGAGTCGCCTTAACTGATCCAAACATACTGGGCCAAGAGTCAGTGGCAGTAGCCTAGCAGCCAGCTGGGACTTAAATGAATGCGGGTGGAAAAGATAGTAAACGATATAAATTATGCCACCAGGCCGATTTTGCTGTCATTTTGTGTTGCAAAAGAAACTAATCGAATCGGATGAAGTCACACGGCTGCTTGATAATAATTTACATTGCGAACTATCGATTTTCGGGAGGCGTGGGCGAGCCCCTGACCAGCTCTATATATCTTGACGCATGTCCGTCAAAGCGAAACGCTCGCAAAGGCAGGCCACAAAGACGGAGACGGAGACAACTGACGAAGCTGACAAATACCCTTCGACTTTCTGAGCAATTTATGGCCAGCACTTGGCCCGCTGATTGGGTCCGTTGATTGCCGGCCACTGGTCATTTTTTCCCCACATTTTTTTGTGTTTTTGTATTTTACCCATTGGACATTGGCCAAGGCCAAAGGGCTTAGGCTGCACTTGGTCGTTGAGTGTTTGGTGCCCGGTATTCAGTGTTCAGTGTTCGGTGTTTTCTATTTAATGTTCGGTTTTCTGTGTGCCACATTCTTAAAGGTCACGCGAGCCCTTGCGAATGGGTGGCCAAAGTGATGGAAATCCCATTTATTAAATGAAGCGAAACGAATTCAAAATGAGTAGCGAATCGTGGGTGGTGTTAGAAATTCAGGATCATGTAATAAGGATTAGATTACACGCCGACAAAAGGTTAAGATTTTTTGTGATTCATAAATTTAATCCACAAAATGATTATTATATTTCTTGTATAACAAGAATTGCATTAAATATTTAAGAAAGTGATAACAAATTATCTAAAAGAAATTACTAATCAATGGAAAAGCGTTTGTACATTGATAAGATTATGTACATATCTTTCAGGAGGTTTATATTATTTAATAATTTTTATTATACATTTACATTAAAAGCTGGTGAACCCCAAGGAGATTGGGAAAATATTGGGAAAACCTTGATATTTAATAGTTTAAACAAATACACAATTAGTTTACTTATGCCGACTGGTCATTGGAATGAAACTTTAAATATGTATTTTTAATGCAAAACAAATTGATAAAACAAAAGGCAAAGATCATTGCAAAATGTGTTCTAAATGCATCACAAATTGATAAGAAATGAGCAAAGAAAACTCAAATGGGAATATCAAATGATTGATTGATTGACGAGCTATAGATAAGGTAAACCCCTGTTTTGTGGAAACGCTAAACGTGATTTCTACGATCTGGTGGTCTTTCACAAGCGTTGCGTATTTATTTGTGGATTCACGAACGACATCAAGGGCTTTACCTTTGGCATAATGGGTGGATAGAACGGTGGCAGTTCGTGGCAATTTGGGCACCAGCTGGCCATGTTTGATGGATCGTTCCGGGCGGACCCCCTCTTCTCTGTGGTGTCGTGGTCGTTGTGGATTTCGATGTGGATCTAGTGGCGGTTGTGATTGCTTTCCCTTCGCTATCCGTTTTCATATTCGCTTTCTTTTTTTATTTTGGGAAAGTGTGTGTTTTCGGTTGTTGTTGTTTGTGGTTTCAGAAGTGGTAGTGTATTCGAATTTGTAATCGTGTTGTTGGATGGTAGTGGTTGGTGTTTGCGAAGGAGGACTTGATAGTACTCACCTAGTACTGGCTAAACCACCGAGGCAGGGCTCCAGGGCTGCCAACATTCACACGCTCAAATCGCACATCAATGTGTAGACGATTTGTGTTTGCTGCAGCTCGCCAATGTTGCACGTGGAAAATGGTCTGGCTTGCGTTTTCCTCTCTTGCTCTTGGTTTTCCCTGGTTATTTCATAATTGCATTCATTGTGTTTAGAACGACGTTATCGGCTTCATAGACCTTATCAGTTTCATTGTGCGTTTGTTTAGTTTTGGTTTGGTTTTTGTTTTGTTTATTTGTTTCTTTGCAATTTTGATCGATAGTTCGCTTCGAATTTGAATGTGGAATTTAGTTAAATTTAAAACTGCGCTTAGTCACACTGCTCATGTTTCCTTCACAATTTTATTTTCTTTGTTTGCCTACGATTTTTTTTCCTTGTGTGTTAAGCTGCAAGAGATTTATGGAGTTGAGCGATATATTAAATATTATTTAAATTGGCTTGGCAGCTACGACCGGCTCGGCAATTAATTATATTTTTTAGTAAAGCTGTCAAAGTTATTTGCGTTTTAATTTTTTTACGACCGCCCGACATTTGTCAAAATTATTACTTATATATTTTTATTTTGTCCCTGCTTTAGTATTTCTTTTTCTGGCCTGCTGCCGTTTTTCATTTACAATTTATTGGGAACTTTTCATGAAATTATTTTATCTTTACCCTTTTTGCTTTGCCGGAAAAAAGCCTGTCAAGTAAATAAATAAATAAAGATGCGAAACAAACTTCAAAGCGAAATCAGCAGCTCTCGGTGTTTTTTAATACTCGACTATGAGAGAATTTTTTGAGAATCACTCTCAGTTTCCCACTTGGCCGATGGCGGACTGGCGACTGCGCGGTGTCGGGACTCCGAAAAAGCTTTTCCTTTTCTTCGAACATCGCACATTTTGGTTAAGCATACGCAATGTGGTACCAAAAACTAGGCACTTTTCAAATATTTAATGGCCTTCTAACTAAGGGGTTTCTTTTAATGTCCTTTTAATAAAATATTATTTTTGTATTAAAATATTTTGATTAACTGGTTAAATATAAAGTTTTAAGTTAGATTAGCGAGGCTTTGCTGTGCTGGGGCTTCGTCCTTTTGCCTGCGGCATGTCGTTGAAACGGAAACACACTGCCCTAGTTTTTAGTTCTCCTTCGTGTCACACACACACACTCGAATCCTCGCAGGACACACACTTTCATGCGCTTAACAAGCTGCCTAATGCGCCTGCAAACAATGGAAACGGGACAAATGCCGAGTCAAATGAAAGTTGCATTTTCATAATAAATAAGCAGGCGACACAATTTCCCACGGCACGCCAACGGTCGGTAAATGTGGGTATGGGTAGGGAGGAAAGGGTTGACATGGGTTTTCTCTTCCTCCCGCAACATACAATGAAAGGGGAAAAGTAAACAGAGCTTAGTTCTTCGTCCTGGCCGCGCATTGAACTCGCCTGGATTTGGTGGCTTCATTTGTAGGTATCTGGGTATCTGCGTATCTTGGCGCACGCACACCGATACACACTGAGATACATTCGGCCAGTGACTGACTGACACACATATACCAAGGCATCCTGCGATACACGAAGGACGACGAGTAGGAAGCAACAAAAATAACATTGACGATGACAGCAACAGCAATAGCAATAGCAAAGGCAAAGGCAAAGGCAGGCGAACGATACAAGTGTATCTCCGGCCTGGAACATCGACTTTATCATCGGGTCGGGTCCTTTCGTCCTTTCGTTTTGGGGAACTTGTGGTGTGCTCGTTTTGTGCGAAGGAAAAACTGTGCCGTATGCGCATGTGTATGTGTGTGTGTGTGTCCGTGTGTGTTGACTTCAACGAATGTATCTTTTAAATGAAAACCTGCAGCAGGACCAAAAAATTGAAAACTATATAGAGTTCCTCTTTAACTTCGCAATAGCCCATTTCTGGCTCCTTAATGTATGCACCACTTTTTGCAATAACAATTTCCATTTTGGGGCAATCACACACACACACGGTCACTAATTAATTGAATTTCCTGTGCTATGCTGAGTTTGTGTGTGTGTGTGTGTGTCGCACATTTTCACGTTCACTGAGTCCGTTTTCAACGGATACCGAATTTTGCACAATTCCCGTTTCGCAAATGGCCACGTTTATTGCCTGGATTTAAAACCGTTTTTGGTGAATTTTCACCGTAATTGGCAAACGCAGTATGAAAATTTTTCACTTTTCCGAATTGAATGGGTGTGTGTGTATGGGTCCCCTTGTATACATATATATGCGAAAGGCACTTTTCCACACAATCCACTCACTCACACACCCAAAAAACCAGACGCGACGCGCTCCGGCCAGAAAACCAACCTTTCTCGTCAGCAGCGTATACAATTCTGCGCGATGTGGACTCCGACAACTTGCTACTCGGTGGCACAAAGTGGTTCCGCACGGCCCAAGCTCGTCTTAGTGAGCTTTTCGGAGTCCTGAGGTCGGTGCGGGCTGGACGCTCCGTTCGATTCATCAAAACTGGCGCCAAAACCCATTCACTATGAATGACCCAGTGTCGTTGCGGTGGTGAAGGTGCTAGTGTATCAGTGCAAGTAAATTTTCACTGCGATGCACACGTGGCGCATGAGGAATGTTTGAAGAGATCCATTGCATACTTTTGGACTGGCGTAACTATCTCACTGATGTTGAAGATAAATGATGTTAAAAATGGTGCTCTGATTTTTAAAAGATATAAAAGAGTATAGATTTAACTTATAAAAAAATAATAGAGAAATAATAAGAAAGAAATCGAAATATTTGTTATTTCTCAAAATTCTACAAAATGTAATAAAAAGATAAAAAAAACATAATTATCGAATAAAAATACCTAAACACAACAGCTTATCATTTTCTCCGCTTACCACCATATTTTATTGTTTTTTTTTTTAAGTTCAAATATTTTTTAGCGCCAATAACATCGATTAACAGCTCTGACGATTTTGGAACGAAACGTATCGATACCCTTATCTGGCCGATAGTTATGTCACTTGGAATTATTTTGGTCTTAACGATCCAACCGGCATAGATTTTCCGGTCTCCAAAACCAAAACTACTCTGAGTCCTCTCTAGGATTCGGGACACACCTGAAGCAGCAGAAGGACCATGTCAACGGCCGTGCTGGGAGGCGGCCTGAGCGGTCTGTCCGCCGGATACTACTTGTTGCGGCGGTTCAAGAAGCCGTTGACGATCTACGAAGCCTCTCCACGAGTGGGCGGATGGGTACGGTCAGAGAACCGCAAAGACCGGAATTTCATCTTCGAGAGCGGACCACGCACCATCCGCCCTGTTGGCTTGCCAGGAGCCAATACTCTGGAACTGGTGGAGGAGCTAAAACTGGAGGTGACTCCAATCCGGAGAAGTCATGTGGCAGCCCGAAACCGAATGCTATACGCCAAGGGACAACTCTGCATGCTGCCCAACGGTCCAAAGGGACTTTTTGGCGTCCTTCCTCCTTTCACGAAGCCGCTTTACAGGGCTGTTTTGAAGGACCTGATCACTGCGAGCAAGAAGGCCAAGCTGGAGGACGAAAGCATTTACAGCTTCGCAGAGCGACGATTTGGAAAGGAGATAGCCGACTACGCCATTAGCCCCATGATATGTGGTATTTGTGCTGGAGATGCCCGCGAGATTAGTGTCCGCTTCCTGATGGAGGGACTCTTCGAGAAGGAGCAGAAGTATGGAGGAGTACTCAAAGGCACACTTTTTTCCCGCTTTCAAGAAAAGAAAAATGACTCAAAAGAGGGCATCTTTGCACAAGGTCAGCCCAAGCTTTATACCCAGGCGCTTGAGGAGAAGTGGGCCATGTACGGACTGCAAGGCGGACTTGAGAACCTGCCCAAAGCCATGCGAAAGTACCTCGGCGAGCAGGATGTCAACGTGCAGCTGAGCAACGAGTGCCGCAATCTGAGTTTTAGCACCTCTGGCGTCCGGATGAACATCAAGGATGCCGAAGTGCCAGTGGAGCATGTGGTCAGTTCTCTGCCCGCTTTTAAGCTGGCGCCACTGGTAAAGCATCAACATCCATCGCTTAGCGCCCAGTTACTAGACATTCCGTACGTGGATGTGCTGGTGGTGAACATGCAATTTCAAGGGAAGATTCTTAAGCAGGATGGCTTTGGACTGCTGGTGCCACCCGTGGAGAAGTTGCCAATACTCGGTGTGATTTTTGACAGCTGCTGCTTTGAAATGGGCGAAAACACGGTGCTCACTGTTATGATGGGCGGCCATTGGTTCGACCAGTGGTTCGGCAATCGACCCAGCCCAAAGCAGATCCTCGACTTGGCCACCAGACAGGTGCAGAAAATCCTGCAGATCCGCGAAGAGCCCAAGTTTAGCCGAGTGCACACGCTGCACAAATGCATCCCGCAGTACACCGTGGGCCACAAGCGTCGCGTCGAGGCCATCCGGAATTACATAAAAACTTACAAGCTGCCACTGTCTCTTTGCGGAGCTGCCTACGATGGAGTCGGCATCAATGACGTCATTCTGTCCGCCCGTCGACAGGTGGAGGCCTTGCCTTTATCCTAAAACAACCATTCCCCTGTAGCTCAAACTCTTTTTCCATAGGTGATTCGGTTGTATTTTTTGCTTAAGCTGGTTTTGTGAGTAGTAAAGTAGGTCCTTTGTACATAGATTTCGATTCTGTTTCTTCTGGGTTTACTTTCCGTGGCCTCCCATGCACGGCGGACTCTTCTCAGGCTGTTGCTCGGGTGCCCACTGCTTGGGTGTTTTTGCCTCGATAGAAAGGGCATGCATGAACTCAAAACCGGCTGCTTTTAGGGCATTCTTTACCGTATCATTGACAAGTCGATGACGCTGAAAGAAGGGAAAGCCAATTAATACCAGCAAATTTAAAAATATTAAGCTCACCTTGATAAGAGACAGATCGTTGAACTTCTCCGAGACGACATACACTCGAAAGTGGGACTCCGACCGCTTGGGAACGTTATGCTGCGGTGATTCGTTTATGACCTCCAGGTAGACCGGCTTCAGTTCTGTTGTCAGGGCCTTTCGCATGGCGAACTCAATGGGCGGATACTGTCCCGCCTCCTGCGACATGTTGGCTTTAGAGAGTTTCAGTACCAAGTTGCAACTTGTGGGTGTCAGTTGATTCAGGTTTCGCGAGGAAACTCCAGCTAAACGGCGGAGTGTCAGATTTAACATGGTTCCAGTATTCTTCTCGCACAGCTGTTCACAATTACATAAACAACTGGCAACCAGAGTTGTCAAGTGTGAAATCGTTACTTACCGATAACGATTGTGACATTTTAAATTACATCTTTAACGGACAATAGTTTTGTAGATCATTGTCTTATTAATTAGCCAGAATTTTTTTATTCGATACCCAAAAAAATAATAAGAACAAAACAGATTGGAGCAAAGAAAAATATTTATTTGTAAATGCTAATTAAGTACTGAAAGAAAAATACAAACGCCTAATAAAACTTCATTTTTTTTAGATCAAAATAAAATTAAATTGTACAAAAAATTATATATCATTAAAGAAATCTTTAACTGTTAAGGGCTTAAATTATTTTATTGGGGCCAGAATCAACAGTTAACGCAGAACACGCTCCAGAAATAATTCCTAAATCTATAAACAATCGAGCGAATATCAAATGTATAATCAAGCGAATAGAAAAAGAGTCTCCTTCACAGCGCTTTCGGGTTCAATAGTCAACTAGTTTCTTGAGCTTTGGCGGGGCGGAGATGACGACACGACCTCGATTTGAAGATCCACTGCCGCCATGACTGTAATCCGCATCACGATCTCGATCGCGTACCCGTATCCTATCGTGTTGCTGCTGCTGTTGTTGTTGCTGATGCTGTTGCTTGTATCTTTCCCGCTCGCGATTTCGCTCCACGCTGCGGTCCCTTTGCCTCCGTCGGCGAGATTGACTTCGCCGGCTGCGGGAACGTCGTCGATCTCGACTGCCACTACGTCGACGACTATGGGAACGTTGCTTCCGCTCCACGCGACTGCCGCTTCTAGAACGCGAACGCTGCCTACGGTTGTACTTGGGACTGGGCGTCCTTGTGCGGCGCCGCCGTTCCGTTCGACTACTGCTTCGCCTACTGTGCTGTGTATCCGGCGGAGGAGTCCGCCTACGACTGTGCGATCTGCTGCGACTGCGGCGCGAAGAGGCCTTTGTGATCTGGCTCTCGGAGGCAATTGATTCCGCTTCACTACCTGACAGCTTGCCGCTTGAGGGCGTTCCATACTTGTGACGCAGCTCACGACGCCTGTGAATATACAGATGTGAGAGGACAGCCGGAGCCAACCACATCAAGATACCCACCTCCTGCGCAGCTTCAAAGCCAACTCACGCATCTCGTCCTCACGCTCCTGCTGTTGCAGTCGTTCCCGCTCGGACTTCTCGATTTCCGCACGCTTATCGGCTTTATCTGCAAGATAATCCTATTTAAGTATCTACTCGAAGGTACTACAACAAGGCGGTTGGTGAACATCACACTACACTCCTGGTGGCTTACATTGCCGGTTTAATAGATTCTGCATCTTTCGCTTAAGCCGCTCGCGCAAATTCGGTCGTCCGCCACCAGAACTTGGATGTCCAGAACCCTGTAAAATCAAAAATTTATTTATCAAGTGTCACGGTGCAGTTTATGTTAAAAGAGAGCTGGGCGGGCAGTCGAAAGTGTGGTGGGCAGTTGGGATTTTATAGTGTGTCCATGATATGCTGTAAGTCGAGGACTTCTACTCAATAAAAAGCAAGCTTCGAGAACCGAAGCTTTGAATACCATTGCATAATAATCATTTTAAGGAATGCTCCAAAGTTAAATAAATACATACAAAACTACAAAAAAAAACTACTATTAAAAAAACACCTGCGTTTGAAATCAAAAATAAACTGACTAAAGGGTTCTACTCGCGGTAACCGAGAACAATACAATCAAGCTGCAATTGTTGAAGGCCTTGCGTTCCATGGGAACTCACAAAAAATCCTTTCTGTTACTTACTGCACGTCTGTGCATAGCAACAGATTAATGGAAAAAACAGACAAACAGGACAAAATTCTTCGTCTTTATAAACATAATGGGGTGGTAAATGCATCCTTGATTGCATTGCTATCCAGATTGCATTGCAACGATTTCTGCATTGGCACTTAGAGGGGGGACACAAAACAATGCATCAACAAGGGGACATGCAGGGATGGTCACAAGTCGGGGTTGGAACGAGAACACGGTGCTGCCTGCTTGGGTCCGAATGTTGCTCATTGGTTTGGATGGCGGATTGCGGGAGGCTGAGACGTGAATTTTGTGGTGTACTCCATTTGGGTGGGGCATGAGACATTTGGCTTTGCTTACTGACTTTGGTTTCGGTAGCAGAACTATATTTGCCTGTTTGATTACCCGTGCTGCTCGATGACGACATGGTTGGCTGGATGGCATGGGAACGCTCTGACCTGAAAAAGGTAACACAGAATTAGTTACCGGTTACATCTTCAATAATATAAACTGTAGTCTTTGGCTGTTCTACTTTACCACTCTATGCAGCACACAAACTTACGCAGTGTCCACTTCCATTTCATCGGAATCTTCCACCCGCTTTCCCAACTGTGGCTGTTGCTGCTCCTCGTTGTCGCTGGCTTCGCTATTTTCCGCTCCCGACGATGATGATGAAGTGTCATTAGCTCTTTTCCGACCGTAGTACCGTTTTAATGGCGGTGGTGGCGGCTCCACCACTTGCGGTTGTACAGCAGCTGGAGCGGGAGCGGCAGCCGTCCCAGATTGGTTTTGATTGAGTACTCGCGCTGGCAACGGATAGCTGATCATAGGTGGCGTGGCTTTGGCCTGCGGATGCTGTTGCTGCTGAAGGAGCTTTACCGCCGTCAATGTGGATGTGGTTGTAGTGGTGGTGGTGCTTAGACAATAAGAAGCCACTGTTGCCGCTGGCGGTGGTGTCATCTTCTTTTTGACGCGACTCCTTCGACTGGAGTGCGAACGGGAGCGACTCCTTCGTCTGTACGAGCTGGCGCTGGAGCTGCGAGATGAATAGGAGTAGCGCTTTCTAGATCGCTTGTAGCTGGGGCTGCGCGTCTTGTAACGTTTCCATGAACCAGAGCGCGAATGAGTGCGAGACCGAGACCTAGATCTTGACCTGGAACGTGATCTGGATCGCGACCTTGATCTAGATCTGGAATAGTACCTTCGACGGGAACGACGAGACCGCGTCCTGCTCCGTCTGTGATAGCTACGACTGCGTCGACTTCTCCGCCGACTGCCACTGCGACTCCTAGAGGCAGAGCCACTTCTTGAACGAGAGCGGGAGTGCGAACGAGAACGGCGTCTGCTGCGCTTGGCCGATTCATTCATCACCTTCAACTTGTCAAGATTGTCTTTCACTTTTTGGGCATAGGAAACCGATGAGGCTGCGGCGGCGGCGGCAATGGCTGCTCCGCTACTGGCATTGATGCACGACTCACCCAATGTTAGGCCCGGCTTTGTAAGGCTAATAGTGATCTTTGAGTGCGGCTGCATCTCATCCTCGCCGCCAAATGAGGTAATATAGGTGATCTTCTCTGGCCCCGCCTCTGCAGGCGAGGGAGAACGGGAGTCGCTGTCCTCCTCCTTTTCCTTGTCGCCGCCTTTGCCGCCGCCCTTCTTGTCTTTGTCCTCCTTGGCTGCATAACTGGGCGGACTGAAAGGTCTGTTGGCGATTCTTCGTTCCTTTTGGGCCCGTCGTTCGCGTCTCGACTTTCGCCCACTTAGCAGCATTTTTTCTTGCTCCTCCTCGCGGGCAATGCGCAAGGCGTCGGCCTCATCTGCATCCTTTGTTAGATGTGAGAAAAAGTCGTTGCTCTTCATACCATAGTTGCGTCCGCAGGCGTTAAGCTCATGGGCTTGCGAGGTGTCAAGCTTACCGATGTCTATGGACACATCCATGTCAATGTCCGAATCGGATTCATCACTGCCATCCGCTTTATCGCCCTTAGCAGCACCTGCCGCTCCTCCACTGACAGTTGAACTAGCAGCTCCAAAAGGCTGCGGCCCTATGGCGGCCCCATCGCTAGCGTCGTCATAGGAGTACCCAATGGTGGCACCACCCGTTTTCTGCTTTTTCTTAGCCAGATTTCGCTCCGCCTCCAGCTGCGCATTGGCTCCGAACTGCTCCTCCAGATAGAGTTGATGCAGAAACTTATCCTCACTGACGTTAAGGAAATCGTTTTGCGCTAGGATGCGATAACGCTCATAGTTCAGTTGGCGCTCCTCGGTGCTTAGGTCGGAATCGACTTCCCCTCCGTCGGCAGTGTTCTTTGTCACGGGGGGTATATGATCCAGATGGGCACGCACATCAAAGCGGTCAATGAGGTTATCCTGCTGACCCTGCCAAGGCACACTGCAAAAAAAAAAAAAAATAAGTAAAAGTTCTCAACACAGTAACATATATATAAAAAGTTTTGGATTTAAGGATCCCACTGAATATCACTTGCATGATTGCGGCTCCATCGCCGGCGGCGGCCACCGCAGGATCCAAATAGATCTTGCTTCTCCGGCCGTGCAGCTGCAGGAACTGGGTGGGATCCGCCTGGATCTTGTCATAAAAGTACTGCCGACGCTCCGCCCTTTTGCGATAGTCGACGATAAGGCCACGTATCTTGCGCTCTTGTTTTCTGGCCTCGTGCCACATCCTAACTTGTGATTCCTGCGATCGCCGGATGGCAAATGAGTTGGCTTCACCCGAAAAAGGACATCAGCACACCCGGCAAATATTTCTTTCGTGTCTACTTCCAGTGTTACCATATGGTGAAACTGAAAAATTCTCTACACCAACCCTGATTTTTCACTCATGATTTACTCTCTAAGTTTAAGATTGCACTGTAATTTCATGAGCGCGGTGCTCACGCTACAATGGAAAATTATTCTATGGAGGATGACCAAAACATATTGAAATTAAAAGCAAAGAAAAATATAAGAAAATTTTATTTCTTGCACTTCCACCAGTCTGTATAAAAAAATTCCAAGTCTATCGATAGTTTGTTGAGTAAGGACTTCATAGTGATGTGCAAGAAAATATTGTCTGGCCGGTGGTTGAAAATGATTTTACGGGAATCCACTAAATTATATTCTTAAGTTCTATTTTTAATATTTCAGACAAGGGGACTATGGTTCACAGCAACCAACTTAAAGAAAAGTGAGGTTCATTAGTATTTATTAATTCCAATTTATTTAAATATAAGATTTTAAATATGGTCAATTATAAATGTATTTTAATATTATGTGGACGAACGACTTTAGCCTATAGTGCTGTGAAACCTTTTACATTAACTATTGTAAGCTAGACCTAATTTGTTAAAATAAAAAATTATAAATGTGTGTAAAAACGAAATATTTTAACTCATATTTTTTCATCACACAATTATGAGTAAAGCTCAAAAGGAATACCCCTCTTGCCCACTTTAAAAGACCATTTCCGAACGTTATTTTTGGTCTATGCTGGCAATTCCGTAGAGCCTGCGCCCTTTTGTCGGTGGTGGAAACAACAAAAGGACAATAAATAACAAGACAAACTGGAATGGGCCACAACACAACAATTGTCGCTCGCCGCATATAGCGGCATCGATTTTGAAGGGGAACACATCCACAGACACAACTATATCAGAAGGACACCCACGGGGATTTGTGAGTGGTAGGATCAAGGAGCAGCGAAGGGAAAGTGAAGGGCAGAACGAGTCCAGCTCGTTTTCCAGATCCAGTTTTGATGTCCTCTGATAGGCACTACTACTTCGGAGCGGATCTGGAGGACAATGAGGGTGCCATCTGCAAGGACAACGTCAACAACAACGAACCGGAAGTGGATAAAGACGACCCGGACGACTCGGAGTTCCTGCAGGACGTCCCCTACTCCTCAAGCAGCATTGACCGCAGTTCGGTGGGTTCCATTCCGTGGGCGGACGACGCCATTAAGAAGAACCTGCTGGACTGGGAGCGGGTGGAGCGGCTAATGAGTGGTGAGGATCATCTGACGGATCTTCAGGAGCCGGAGTTGCGTAACGAGATTGCCGATTGGCATCGCAAGTTTCCCAGTCTGCTGGACCGAAGAACTCGTGCACTGCGACACCACAGCTTTGATAGTCAGACAAGGGAGGACATTGACTCGATTTCAAATCTCAGCCTAAATTCTCTAGACGATGAGGATGAAGAGGCGGAAGATGGCTTTCTCACACCCAAGGCAGAAGAACCACATCAGCCTCACCATCGCCCCTATTTGCGCCCTAGCCAGAAAAAGTTGGTGGATCTTCTAGACAGGGATCTGCGGGTCACATCCGTTTCGGTGAAGCTACTCAAGCGCCAGCGCAGCCAACAATACCAACCTCAGCTACCCATCTCGGCGACCACCCAATCCTCGGCCCGCCTGCGCATGCCGCCTATCCTAAACGTGCTGGACACCAACCGGCGATTTCGAGGTTTGCTGAACAATCGAAGCTTCGTCCAACTAACTCAGGTGCAGCAGAAGGAGCAGCTGCAGCATCAAAACCAGGCCAAGTCCGCAGTGTTGCCGCATCAGAGCCATAGATCCTCCGCCTGGCACATGCCCATGGCCGCCAGTCGCTTTTTTAACAACAAGAACTCGGTGGTTCTGCCCTCACTGAATCTGGGCAGACACAGCAGGGATTTGCTGGCCACAACCACGACCACTTCGAGCCAGAGCAACTCGAGCGGCGGCGGCGGGCACAACAGTCATGGCCACAGCAATAGTTCCTCCAACCGCTCTACGATGCATCCGTTTGGAGCGACCAGCGTTTCAAGCAACACACCATCCACGGGGCGGTCCATCTCAGCGGCCGTGCATCATCCGCGATCCGAATTCGCACCCAGCAGCGCCTTTTACATACCCTACAGTGCCTCGAAATTTAAATCCTTCAAGTAACCTCAAACAATAAAACTGAACTCAAAGAAGAAAAATAAAAGTTATTTTGGAAGGGGATTAAGGAAGGGATTCTACAATTTGGGTATTTTAATTTCTTTTGTTTTATAGATAAACCACTTTTAATATCTAATATATAATTTCTTTTTATGGTTACACTTAAAAACCTTTCCAATGAATACCGCATTCAAAAATAATATGTTTTTTCTTTTGTGTTAACGAATTAAAATTCTTTAGACCCATGTTCTCTTACTTATTCGTACTATACTACGGACCCTAAAGCTCTGTGAACTAAGTCAATTTATCCCATTAAAGACCCATATTATCCAGCCGCAGACGTCCATCATGTTCTGTGAGGTAAAGTGTGTCGGCAAGACACTGCTCTGTGATCAGCTCCTCCACTCGATCGTGCATCTGGAAAGGATTATTTTATTAATATTCCTGGGAAAAAATTGAAAAGCCTACCCCCTTGGCTTTATGTTCTCCAAGTACATCGGGATACTTAAAGGCGGGTCCAAAGTTCACGCTGACCGTGGCACTCTTGTGGATCGAAATGGCCGGAAAGTAGCTTCCGGCGTATATATCCTCGAATGCAACGCCCTGTGACTGGCCATTCTTGAAAAATTCAATGCGACTACCCTGCAGAATGTGTAGATTCTTTAGTGTCTCTGTAATCTTGTCCTTGTCCTCGTAGTACAGATGCGACTTAAACTTGACCAAGGGCTGTTGAAGAGTGAAAGGATACAACAGGATTGCTAATTAGGAAGGGTCAATTTGTAAAGATGCTATACAACAAAATTTAAAGGGGTAAAATATAATATGGGCTAATTATTATCTATGACCTTCATATTTTTACAATAAAACTGCGAAAACGTGTTTGATTAAAATACAGAAAAGCAAGAAAGGATGTGATTTCTAAAGCTACAAAAGGCCTTGCAAATAAAAACTTTGAAATGTAGTCATTTCAGAAATATTGAAAATCCTTACCCGATCTTTGAATGTATTGGGCAGATAGTCAAGCGTCGACTCCTCTGGCAATTCGATAAGGAATCCCAGGGTGTCGCCCTCCACATAGGCGTCGCTGTAGTGTTTGCCATGACTCTCCGTGAACTTGGTACCCTTGCGAGACCTCCATGAGTAACCAAACTTGTCGTACCCCAAGGGAGCCTGCAGGTTGCCGTACTCTCTGCCCCATCCCAGGCGCGTGGCAGCTCCTTCAGGCATTTCCTCTATGGTGATCTCATAGTACCAGCATCCCCGGTTAACGGCTAGAAAAAAATAAGCTTTTTAAAAGGGTTTACCGTACTACAATTATATAGATTTCTTACAGTGGGTGGCCCGGACCATACAGTATCCCCGCTCTCCCGTCACAGCAAGCCGATCCTCACTTATCTTAAGCTGTGGTGCCCGATCGTGCAAAGCCAGAAGTACGGAATGCGGCACCAGAGTTCGATACAGCCAACCAGGAATAGGTTTGCCCGCCCAGTCGGAGCTCTCGTCGAATTCTTGACGGAATGGAGCATGTGGATCCGGTTCAGCGAGTATATAACGATATCCATCCTTGTTGAAAGGGTGCTCTAAAGGATAACCATGTGGTGGCAGCTTTACATTGGCCGTGATATCAGAACTGGGGCGACCCTTCTTTCCGGTGGGCCCTGAATCCGTCCCAGGAAATTTCCTTTTCTGTCGATTATTCTTAGATAGGGAAGCTGAAAACAAATCCAAACAAAATATTTAAAAGATATTTAAAAAGGGGTTTACGATGCGAACAATGGGTTTTAAGGGTTTTAGGGTTTTAAGAATAGCTATTTCCGAAACCCTTATTGAAGGTCGATTTCATTATTATTTAATATGGGAGTTACTTTTTATAGCCGTTTAAAAATCTTTAAATACAAAGAATTCTTTCACCGAGAAGAAATGTTTTATGGGACTAGCTAGGTTACTGGTCAAAGTTCGAGGTGGTGGTGCTTCTGGGCTTACACTCCTCGTCCGGAAAAGATGACGCCATGGCAGGAGGTAGGAGCCAAAGTAGGCCACAATTGAACTGAAGGAGCAGGGAGGAGACTTTCAATTGCGTAGTGCTCAAAATCAAATCAAAATCAATTCCCCTGAAAGAGCACCATACACAAACACAGTCGCAAATGTGTTCCAAGCGTAACTATTTGTTTGTAATGAATGAGCCAAGTTGAGCGCTTCTGCCAGCCCCACCCCACTCCGCCCCGCCCACAATCTGACTACGTGGGGCTGCCAGCTGCGCTCTTCCGCTCTCTCCTCGCTCTCTTTCTCTGTATGTGTGTGTGTGCAAATCAGAAACTACGATCCGCTTTGCGATTTCCATTTGTTGTTGGTCTGCTTTGCCAAACACTTGCGAAAGAGCTTGCAAAAGGGAGCGGTGGAGTGTGCTTGTTTTGTTTGCGGAGAGTGTGTGAAGCAATCATACCGATAAATAGGGAATCGAAAAGGAAATCAAATATGCGACATGCGAACCACTGTGCCAAAATCAGCTGGATGGCCAGTGTTGCCAGTTTGACCGCCAAAATCTAATTCCTTTAGATTTTTGTCAGGTTGTCAGGTTACCTGACATTAGTAAATAATATATTTAGACTATGCAGACCACTTTATATAAAACTTATTAAATCAAATATCCTTAGTTTTTAAAAGCCATAGAACTTCTTGACTATAGGAATAGGCTGGTTTTAAAACTAGCCCGAACTTACCTTGTGTATATCCGTCGTCGGTGAGTCGCAACGCGCCGCTCTTGCTCATGCTTTCATAGTTGGGCTTAATGATCCGCAGATCCTGGTGAATGAGTCCGTACATGGAGCCATGTTCGGAGTGTTCCTCATACGTAAACAGGGTCTGCACATCCTTGACGAGGGACCGCTGGACCGTGCTGTACCAGGATTGGGTAAGCCTGCGCGGCATGGTGGTCATAGATTCCCAATACTGTTCTATGTACGGTATGATATCCTTGTCTTTGCTGAATTGTATCTGGCGACGTCCTTCCCTGGCAGCTGACTGCTGCATGTTGGCAATAGCGCAGTGACACATCTGAGATATGGCTAGGGGCGAAATAAGATTATCACTCTCAGGACGGTCCAGACTATGAGACTTTTCCACTTACTAGCCTGACTTTTGCGAAAGCTCTCCAATCCGCTGGCGGAGCAGTTCTTGCAAACGAACACATAATTGGTGATGAAGGGCAGTAGTTTACCCTTGCCTAATTGGTAGGACACGCAGGTCTCGTGTACCCAGCGGGCACAGGTGGCACAAAGCAGCTCAACCATATTGAGATTACGCTCCTTCCCGCTAAAAACAATCTTATCAAATTAGTCCAAACAAATCCCATGTCAACCCCTTACCAGTAACAAACGCCGGCGGCGGCACGCGTTTCCTGGGTTTTCTCCTCTTCGGTATTGAAATTAACCTCCGAGCTGGACTCTGTGGGCGAACTGGTGTCCATTTGTATGTCCTCCATGGCAGTGAAATACTTTTTCAGTCAGCAAATAGCATGTAAACAAAAAAATTGCGGACCGCAAGATTGTCGGCTGGCCAGTATGACCGTTGTTGGCAACACATGGACTGTTGAAAATACCACAATATCGATAACCGATAAGCGATAGTCGGCAAAATTTCGGGCACACAGCCTGACAACTGACTCTGGCTCTTGCTTCGATTGTAATTGTATATATATACATATATATCCCTACCATATATATATGTCTGAGTGTAGAATTATCATTTTTTTGTTGCCGAAAAACAGTGTTCCGTGTTGAGAGGCGAGGGCGCCATCCTAAATGGCATTGCACGACCGCCGGGAGCGAGCCGAGCGACAAACGAAAAGCAAGAAGAGCAATTGCCCGCAACTGAGACCAAAACTCCGCCAGCGAGTCCCAGACTCCTCTCCCTAGACGGCCAGGAGTCGTCGCCGCTGAAAAGGCGGCCCTAACCCCTGGAAGCCCCCTTATTGGTCCGAAGCTAGTGGAGCACCATGTGCGAGGTCTGCGCCGACTTCCAGAATCTCCTGGAGCTGTGTAAGTGTGAAAAGTGCCCCCGCCGAAAAAGAGTGCCCCTGTCCCTGCTAACCCATGATATCCCGATATTCCTTTCCAGACGAGGTGCGTGTGGCTAGCTCGGATCTCAAGTTCCAGCTGCTGCTGAAAAGTGAAATTGAAACCACTTTCAATTACATCCAGTCCTGGCCGCAGCGCCAGTGCATGTGCCTGTATAGGGACACCAAGAACTACGACCGCTTTAACCTAGTGGTGCAATCGCTCATCTGTTTGACAGTGCAGCATCTAAAGCACATCGATCACCTAATCGACAACTACAAGCGACTCACGGCCAGCGCCGCCCAGGTAGTAGCCCAGGCCCAACAGCAGCGGGAAGAGGCGGTAGCCCAAGCAGAAGGCAAGGACTCTTCACTTGCGTCAGAAGAATCCAAGAAGGAGGAGCCATCCGGGTCTCCCAGTGAGGAGGCCCAGGGCTCCGGCGATGGGCCACCTAAAAAGCCGGTCGGCCCCTGCACTCCTCCTCCTCCGCCCGCACCCACATCGCAGCACAAATCCCACCTGCAGTACACCGATGAGCCATGGATTTTACCCGAGGTGGAGAAACTTCTGGTGCTTGTCTCCAAGGTGTTTCTGTTAAACTTTCCGCTGTACATCGCCCATAAGCATGGGATGCACTCGCGACTAGATGACCTGCAAGCTGAAGAGGCCCACCACTTGGCTCTTATCTGCGATCTGCACGACAACGATCTGCCAATATACCTGCTTCGCAATGTGAGCCTTTTCTGTAATTCCGGCGGCTTTGGTGCCATGTCATTGTGTTTCGAGCACCCCGATCTGCCGGTGTCCACCGCCCACTCGATGACTGCCGCAGTCTCGAATGTGAAACTGTGGCTGAATTACCATTGCAACACGCAGCTTTTTGTGCCGTTGCGCAGCCGCATCCTGCAGTATATGTGCAAGCTGTCTGACCAGAGTCTAAGATCCGCAGCTACTCGCGCCATGGCAGACTTCGTGTGGTCCTCTATGCGGGACCCGCTGGACGTGGCCGTTAACTTCGACACAGAAGGATTGGCCCTAGCCTTTAAGTACTTTACATCGACCACTTTGACCATGCGACTAGCAGGTAGGTCCCCCACTTTTTTTGTAAACTCAATTAATTTAATTTAAACACAATTTTTTTCACTTAAAAAAAAACATTACACATATCATTCACATTTAACTAACGGTCTCGAATATATTTCAGGCATGGCCCAAATCAACGCACACATCAACCTATTCAATGAGATCTGTACCACCGAGACGGTTAACGAAGTGGAGCTTTTCGGACAGCGCATAGCGAACTGGTTGACTGAGAACCATATTGTGCAGCATCTGTTTGGTCCCAATCTGCACGTTGAGATTGTTAAGCAGGCGCACGTGCTGCTCAACTTATTGGCGGTAGAGAACCAAATCTCCGAAGAGGATATCAAGCTAATTTGGCAGGCCACCCAGCTAAAGCACTGCTCAAAAACGATATTTGACATCCTGCCGTCGTTGGTGAAAAACCTTGCTCCACGTCCGGCCATGCATCTCTACTCACTGCTTTGCCGCATGGATCCCAAGGAGCACACTGAACAAAGCATTTATATAGCGTCAGCGCTTACAAAACTGCTGTGGACTCGCGATTGTTCGCGCAGCCAGATGAACCTAATGCAGGACCACCTACTAGGATCCAATGTCACTGCATCCAGCTCCGACAGCGGCAGTATTGAAGGGAGCAATACAGAGGACGACCATGTTGGCGCCGACGACAGCAGTATCGCTAGCGGTGGAGGTGGCGGGGGTGTCGGCAACAAGAGCCCAATCGATGGAGTTACTCCATGCAAACAGGCCCGGCACAGACGGCACATCTGTGACCCCACCACTGAAAAGGGAAAGCAAATAAATGCAGAGGACATGGCCAAAGTGGACATGGTGTAAGTATTGAATTTGTCAACTTACTTAAGAAATATTTTTCTATTAATGCTATTAACCTAATTTTTTTTCGTTCAGAAACAATCGGATCGTGAACATTCTCGACAATACAAGCAGCGAAGAAGAGCTGCAATCGCGTGCCGCCCTGGAGCTACAACTGCACCGTAGCCGCAAGAAAAGCAATAAGAGACGCCGCCAAAAGACCAATAAGCAGATCATTCTGCCTCACGAACTGGTTGAGATCTGGGACGGTGCCGAGGATGTGCCCAGCAGTGACGAGGCGGATGCCGACGGTGATGGTGATGGCGAGGGTGAACTTCTGGCTGATAGTGATGAGTGCAGCGATGGAGCCACGAGTCAGTTAGTTCCCGCCGCCGTCCTGAAGCATTTGCAGGGCGAGGGACCGTACATCCGGGCCATTGAGACCAACATTAGCGAACTGCTCAGTGGCGCAGAGAACGATGGTAGTTATTCCTCTCCAATGAGCAACAAATCCGAAAAGAATTTGGCTGACTTCGACGATGAGGACGTGTCGCCTTGCGAAGAGGAGCTAGCCCAGTTAGTCAGTTCCCGCGCCAATTGTCGCGATGTTCCACCTGCATTCGCTGCTGCTGCCGCTGCAATGATGGTGGCCCAGTCCGCCATGGCTCTTCAAAAATCCGGTGAGTCGAACGTGGCCGCTGCTGCAGCTGCCGTAGCCGCTGCTGCCGCGGCTACCGGCACTGCCCAACAAACGTTGGCGGCGATGAATCGCCAGGCCAGCGTTGCCGCAGCCGCCGCTGTGGTCGCCGCGGCCAAGGCAAAGTCGGACTCTGACGTGGATTTGATGGAGGTGGCCGCCGGCAAGCAGCACCATTCCCCCAAAGCCAGTCAGGCCAGCTCTGCATCGGGGGGTACACCGGTGCAGCCCTCCTTTAAGCTCAATGATGTCTGTCAGCCGGGAAACACACTGCTGTGGGATCTACTCCAAGATGACAAAATTGTAAGACATATTTTATATAAATTTATTTATCTATTAATAAGATTAGAAATAATTTGATAAATTAGGATATTTTACACGGTAGACATTGTTCATAATTACTTTATATTACAGGGCCAACTGGGAGAATCTCTGGCATTAGAGGCCGAAAAGGCGCTGGCCACGCTTTTGTGCTTTAGCATGGATCGTCAACTGCGCACGAAATTCATCGAAGGCTGTTTGTATAACGTGGCTAGTAACAGGAGTGTTATTGTCAGTCTACGGCTGTTGCCCAAGCTGTTCGCCTCGTTCCAGCAGTTTCGACCCTCAGATACACATTCGATGACGCTATGGGCAGAGCGAAATCACCGGATGATGCAGTGCTTTTTCAACAACATACGCCACTATGCGCGTCGCCATGCGGAGATACTGATCACCCAAAATGGAGACCAGCAGCAACAGCAGCTTGGCGGTCAACTTTACTCGCACAAGACACAAGTCTCTGTTCGGCTGCAGTTCCTATCCTCGATATTCTCAACAGTTGGATCTCCGAAAAGCTTCCGCTTAACGCTGGAGCAGTTGGACGCCCTTTGGGAATGGCTGGCCCATGATCCGGAGTGCGCCGATTGTTATTTTTCATGGCTTCAAGCACAAGCTAAGGGCGGAGATCAGCATGCCTTGGGAATCGAAGCCCTACAGCATTTATATCTAAAGAAACTCCCCGAGTTGCGACCCGAGGAGTTCTCTATGGTCGCATTGGGACTATTCCAACAACTGTGCAGTTTTGCCCGCATTGCCATGGCCGAGTACGACAAGCACAGCGAGCAGATCTCGGTAAGCGCCAGTGCTGTTGGCATGTACCACCTGTGGAAGATTGCACTGCGCGCCCAAAGCAACGATGTCTCCCTAGCTGCTATACAGTACATCAACATGTACTACATGGGTCAACAATTGCGGCTAGAGAAGGAATTCGTTTCTCAGTGCATGGAAAACCTGGTTCAAGCGGCAACGGCCCTAGAAAGGTAAGTAGAAAGTTCCTAATTTAAAAAAAAATTGTATATAGTCTAAGGAAAATTGATATCTTATTAACTATTGTACTTTTTGCCCATTTTCAGCATCGATGACGAGACTGCATTGATGCGTGTGCAGCGTGGACTGCTTTTACTGAACACCCATCTGGACACTTTTCGGCGTCGATATGCTTTCCACCTGCGCCGCTGGGCAATTGAAGGCAAAGGCATTGGATCGCATAGCAACCTGAAGAATGAGGGAGCAGGTCCGCCCCTGCGAATCGTACTACAGCAGGCAGGACTCTCGGAGAAAAGCCTGCTGCAAATGCACGCTTGTGACCTTATCGCTGACCTTAAGGCGGAGGTTTCCAAATGGTGGGAGAGTCTTCAAACTGGATTAGCTGCACCTGTGCTCGGTCTGCTTCTCAGCGATGGACCGTTGCGCATAATCACCCAGGGACAGGAGTTGACCTCCGATTACGATGAGCGAAGTCTCGGAGATGCTGGCTTCAAGGATAATCAGATTGTATACGTATCGTTGGGAGGACGCGGTGCTCGGCGAAAAGAATCCAATTTGGAGCACCCGTCAATGCTGCCGCCACCACCAAAGGAGTGTTTACCCACAGTGCTCCTTTTGCAACCCAAGTATTTTGAGAAGTTGTTCTGCCTTATGCAGACCTTAGGAGATATGCAACCACAAACGTCGACCACTAACCCTCAACACCACACCAAGGCTCAGTTGCTCTCTCGACGCGTATGGGATATTCTTGCCATGTTACCTACCAATCCGCATATTCTGGACGCCTTCAAGGGTCTGGTCACGGATCTTAGCGAATTGGAGCAACTGGATGCTGGCGGAGAGGAAGAACAGTTGGCTACCAAACGCAAGCATATAAAGCAAAAGTTTAAAGACCTTCTCGATCCAAACAATCTGCAAAAGTTCATGTACTCCCTGCACATTGTGGAGAGTCTGGCATTAACCAGTTCTAGACGTGGCGAGACTAATGGAAACATCTCTATGGGTCATCCACCAGAGCAGGTACGAGTGAAGAAATCCTCGATGGGAAGACGGCGAAACAGCAACGAACAGCCGCCTCCTCCGCCGCCAGAGGCTAAGCAAGGGAAGGAGCAACTGTGTGAGCTGGAGGCACCACTGACCCCCACGCCTACTCCTGGACTGCAGGATGTCGAGACGGAGGCCAGCAGTAGCAGCGGAGGCGATAAAGAAAACCAACCGAAGCAGCACAGCAAACGCCAAAAGAAAAGCGATGCTTTTGATCAAGAAAAGGAACGTCCAGTGGGTTGCTCGACCCCACCGTCCCCAGCTCCACCTCCACCGCCACTCTCTGTAATGGATAGGGGTGACAACAAGTGGAGCGAGGCATTCGTAAAATGCGGTGGGCTCCGTCATCTCTACGAGATTTTCAGCGGTGGCCAACTACAAAAAAGCGCACATCCCAAGGAACTGGCTTTGAATGAGTGGCGCCACGATTGCCTGGCTAGTCTGCTGCGCATCCTCTGGCTATTAGGTTTCGAGGAGCTGCAGTCGGCCGATGCCCATGTTCTTATGTCACGTCCGCATCCGTTTATGCTACAGTTAATGGAAGTTCCAGAGTGCCTGACTCGTCTCTCATCTATCCTCAATGACGAAGTTCATCAGCAGCATCAGGCGTCATCGGCCAACCCGCTGGTGTTCCCCTATCAGTTCCAGCACCTACGCACTGGATTTTGGGGCAGGGCGCAGCTCATTCAGTTCGCCATGAACATCTTGGTGAGCTTTGTGCATGCCTCGGAGGAAGCGAGAAGGTTACTCTGGGCCCAATCAGATACGGATCACTGCCGCTGGCTGCAGAAGTTTATCCTGGAAGATCCAGAACCTGCTGTTCGACGTGAGATTTGCGCTGGCCTTTATCGCATTTGCTTGGGAAACGCACACAGCTATCGCCTCTTGTTGGCGCCACTGCTGCACAAGCTCATCGCCCTGCTGCCATTGGCAGAACAGATGAGTTCGGGCACCCAGCCCACTCAGTTTCTGCTCTCCGAGGAAGGCAAGGATCCGTACGGACCCGCCTGCAGGGATTATTTCTGGCTATTGGCTAGATTAGTCGACACTCTCTCCCCGGAAATGGTGGCTGAGGAGCACATTGATATTGAAATGCTATGCGAAAGCATCTCGCAGAGTATTCTCACTAGAGAGTATTTCGAGCTGCGCCATGGTTACCAGGATGATGGATTGGTGGGTCTTCTGAACCTCATGTCCAACCTGATTAAGTACGACACCACCTTCAAGTACACCCCAAAGGCACTATCCTTCATTGAGCAACTGATTGGGTTCCTTTTTGATATGCCCTCGCCGGCGGATCGCCAGAAACCCAAGTGCAAATCGGCATCTTCTCGAGCGTCCGCTTACGATCTGTTGGTTGAACTATGCCGTGGATGTGCCACAAACTACGGGTATCTTCATGGGCGTCTCTTGGCTCAACACAAATCTGGACCCAAGCAGCCGTATCCCTGGGACTATTGGCCGAGAGATGAAGGAAGGTCCGAGTGCGGTTACGTGGGACTGACTAATTTGGGAGCTACTTGCTATATGGCTTCTTGCGTCCAGCACTTATACATGATGCCTCAGGCGCGAGCGGCTGTTTTACGAGTTCCACCCACCGCTGCCCGTAAGCATGGACCCACGCTCCTAGAGTTGCAACGTATGTTTGCCTATCTACTGGAATCGGAACGGAAGTCTTACAACCCGCGTAGCTTTTGCCGGGTATACCAGATGGATCACCAGCCACTAAACACAGGTGAGCAAAAGGATATGGCGGAGTTCTTCATCGATTTGGTATCCAAACTTGAGGATATGACTCCCGATTTGAAGCACCTGGTGAAGAGGCTCTTTTGTGGCTCTTTGAGCAACAATGTAGTCTCTCTGGATTGCGGTCATGTTTCCCGGACCGCCGAGGACTTCTACACGGTGCGATGCCAGGTGGCAGACATGCGAAACCTGCAGGAATCCCTAGACGAGGTTACCGTAAAAGATACGCTAGAGGGCGATAACATGTACACCTGCTCACAGTGCGGTAAAAAAGTAAGAGCGGAGAAGCGGGCCTGCTTCAAGAAGCTACCGCAGATTTTGTGTTTTAACACCATGCGCTACACCTTCAACATGGTCACCATGCTTAAGGAGAAGGTTAACACTCACTTTTCATTCCCTCTGCGACTGAACATGAGTCACTATGTGGAGAAGACCTTAATGCCGCAGCAGTATAAAGAGGAGCGAGAGAGACGTCAACGGGAGAACGAAGGAGCAGATGCTGGAGGTGGTGAGAACGACAACGAAAAAGCGGAGGCCACTTTAGATGCCGATATAGAGGAATGCTACGAGTGAGAATTTTTCTCGTGTTGAGTTTTATGGGACTCTTAATCGTACTCTCAATTATTGTTTATTTCCGACAGATACGAACTAGTGGGTGTTACTGTCCACACAGGAACTGCTGATGGCGGACACTACTACAGTTTTATCAAGGAGCGCACGAAGACCAGTTACCATCCCCACGAGCGCTGGTTCCTTTTTAACGATGCCGAAGTGAAGCCTTTTGATCCATCACAGATAGCTGCCGAATGCTTCGGTGGGGAGATGACGGTGAGAAGGTTTTTTTTATTGTAATCAAATTATCACTTACTAGGTTGTTTCTTCAGAGCAAAACCTACGACTCAGTGACGGAGAAATATTTGGACTTTAGCTTTGAGAAAACTAACTCCGCCTATATGCTGTTTTACGAGCGCCGATTACCAGAGCATCTGCAGCGTCGGCATTCTGAGCTACTAGTTACACCTACGCCAAGTCCCACTGTGGAGGAGAAGTCCGAGACTGAGGAGCCCACTAAAATGGAAACCAGCGCCAGCGAGATAAAGGCAGATGTAGATATTGAAGTAGAAGATGAGGAGAAAGGCAAAGAGGAGCCTGCGAAGGCTGAGACTGATTCCAAGGAGACCCCTAAGAAAGAAGAGGTTACGGAGCCCAAAACAAAGCAGGATGAGTCTGAGAAAAAAGAAAATGATTCGCAATCACTAAAAAGTGAAAGTAAATCGGAAACGGATAAAACGAACACGGAGAAGTCGATCGAGAGCAATGAGGAGAAACAGCCAACAGCCAATTGTGATAATCATAAGCCAAGCAACAATAGCCACAACAAAGCAAGCAATGATCAACAGCCTTCCACGTCGAAGGCTGCTCAGAAGCTACAACTATTTCGTCCGTTGTTGAACAAGGAGCTGGAGGATTGGATCTGGCAGGACAACCGACAGTTCCTGCAGGATCGCAACATCTTTGAGCACACTTATTTCAAGTGAGTTTAATTTTAATATATGTTAACATTTTACTACAAACCGTTCGTTATTTTGTACAGCTTCATGTGGCAGATATGCGGTCACATACCCCAATCCTTAATATCAGAAACGGACGTGACCTGCATGGCAGCCAAATTGTCAGTGTCGTTCTTTATTGAGACTTTTATTCATGCTAAGGAAAAGGTGGGTTAACCTTCTTAGTAAAGCCAAAATAATGGGTCATTTTGTTACCTTATTCCATAGCCCACAATGGTGCCCTGGGTGGAGTTGCTGACGAAGCAGTTCAATGCAAGCCAGGAGGCCTGCGAATGGTTCCTGTCACACATGTCATTGGAGCCCTACTGGCCGGTGCAGGTGCTTATCCAGTGTCCCAATCAAATGGTGCGTCAAATGTTCCAGCGTTTGGTTATCCATGTCATCCAGCAATTACGGTAAGTTTACTAGGTATAATACTAAGTAAACACTTATGTATTAATTAACCTGACAGCGCTTCTCATGCGGATCTGTATCTGGATGTGGAAACGGACGAGGATGACAAGGAGTTAATTGGCCAAGCCTCTTGCGTCACCCGATTCATTGGCTCCCTTATCTCGCTCTTGGAGCACGGTGCCCGAGCCAATCTGCGCCATCTTTCCGAGTACTTTGGTCTACTTTGCGAGTTCTCTCGTATGGGAGATGAGGAAGCCATGTACTTGCTGCGCATAGGGATACTCAAGAGCCTGGTGGACTTCTATTTGGGACACAAGCAAACAGATAGCGTAAGATGAGCAATGTGCTTCTTGGCTAAGTTATTTAGTTTAATGTTTTTCTTTATCCAAGCAGATAGATATAAGCTCTGACAACGAAGACAACTCTTCGGACGAGGCGCTGTCCGTGGAGAAGATGCGTCCGGCCTCTCTGGACAAAATGATTGCTCTGTGTGCCAGCTTAGTTGAGAGATCACGGGGACCCGACTTTCGACTGCGACTTTCGCCGAAAGACTTTACAGCTATCGCCGGCGGCAAGGTTATACTCAAAAAGCTGGAAAGCGTTGTTTTTTCCGTTTAATCAATCCAACACTCAACCATTCAAGCATGCCATATCTAATACCAACCATCCCACCATCCATCTGCACTAATCCGTAACCGAATTTACCAAAAAACCATTATGTTGCCAACTGCGTTGCCTGTTTTCCAAGTTTTCTGCTCTTTTTGTTAAATGTTTTGCTTATATTTCGTAGGGTTTTCCATTTTTGTACCAACAAATAAAGGACGGCATTAATCCACACCAGACAAAGCATTTAATCCACGCCCTTTGTCGCTGGGATGAGCGCCTGGCCACTCAGATCATCGGCATGCTATTCGCCTCTGTGACCAAGCACACAGAATTGTGTGCGCCTTTCTTCAAGCTGCTCACTCTTCTCACCGAGACCCAGGGAGGCCCTGTGGGTCTGCCATGTTTCACCCAGTTAATCCTGCCGCGTATGTGGGATGCGGCAGAATACTGTCCACAGTCCGTGCTCGACTGGCTCTCGTTACAGGCCACTAAGAACAAGATCGCCCACGCCTGGATTCTTCAATCAGCTGAACAATGGCTGGAGCAATTCCTGCTAGCCCATGATAACACGCGTGTCCGGAACGGTATGACATCTGAAATTTAGCAAAAAGAACAAGTCCTGCTGATTACTCCGTTTTTTATTTCAGCTGCCGCCCTTCTCCTGGTAGCACTAGTACCTTCACAGCCTTTCCGGGCCAACTTCCGCGCCCATTCGCAACACAAGCTCCTGGCCCTTAACCCTCACAGCTATCGGTAAGTTATTAAGAATAGTGATTAGGTGATGTGGAGAATTTATTTGTAATCTCTCTTACCATTTTAGGGACATTAACAGCGATGCACAGGTGGTGTTGCATCAGGTAATCACGCTGCTCTTGAGAATGCTCCGTCCTGCGCGGGTCTATGCGGACATCGGGGCCCATGGTACCACCAAGCTGACCGCCTACTTCAATCTGCTCAGCTATTGTATGGTTTCAAAGACTGAAAAACTAATGGCAAGTTTAGCAGCAGCAATTTCTCCTCATTATATTGTTCAGAACTAAATTGCCTTTTGTTATTTCCATTTACAGATAGGTTCGTACATGCGCTCTCTGTGGGAGCTGTTTCATCCACGCCTCTCGGAGCCCAGTGTTCCGGCCCATCACAATAAGCATGCGCTATTAACCTTTTGGCACCACTCACTGGTAGACTGTCCGGAGAATGCCGCCCAGGTGGCCAACTGCCCGGAGATCACGCGGAACATTGCATTTAATTATATACTGTAAAGAATTAACTACTTTTTAATTGGCGTTTATTGACCTAAGTGATTACATCTTAGGGCCGACCATGATGACGCGGAGATAGTCACCTATAACCGTTCCATGCTGCCCGCCTACTACGGACTGCTCAGACTTTGCTGCGAGCAGAGCCGAGCCCTCACCCGCCAGTTGTCTCAGCACCAGAACCTCCAATGGGCCTTCAAGAACATCACACCCCATCCCACACAGTACGCGGCCGCTGTGGACGAGCTTTTCAAGTTGATGGCGCTATTCGCCACCCGCCATCCGGATGCTAGTGAACAAGAAAAGCTCGATGTGACCCAGTTTAGGAGGGCTGTGATCGTGTCATACACTAGTAGTCTTGACGCACGTGTCTCTTGGTCCACTCTAATCAGTGCTCTTAAGATTCTCGGTGAGTATTTTCTTTGAATGCCTTTAAAAAAGGAAATGTAGTTCAAAGATTAGATAAATATTTGATTATATATTTTAACCTACAGTGGACAATGAGGAGGACCGCACCATGGTGATCTTCAACGGCGGCATAGAGATGTGCTTTGAGGCGCTGCACACGCTACATTCCATGCATCACGAGGCTACCGCCTGTCATGTGGCTGGTGATCTGTTTGATCTCTTGGGTGAGATGTTACTGCTTCTAGCCACGTTGCGAACACGCACCGATAGTCCAGCGCAAAAAAAGCAGCAGCAACAACAGCAGCAGCTGGAGCAGCAGTTGCAGTTGCAACAGCAACAGATGTTGCAGAAACAGCAGCAGCAATCACAAAGCCAAACTCAAACACCGCAGACGCCACAGCAGAAGGAGAAACAACTGCAGCAGCAGATGCAGCAGCACCTGCAACTGCAGCAGTTGCAACAGATGCAGTTCCAGCAACAGCATTTCCTGCGTCAACAGCACCAACACTCGGCACTGGCCAAGGCACTGCCGGATGCAGTAAAGCGGCTAACGACACTTCTTAACACTTTCAACTCGCCGGAGATTAGTCGTATGGCCTTGGAAGTGCTTAAGGAGTTGGTGCGCAACACGAGCCTGGAAACGATTAGCATTTTGGCGCCAATCCTTATCAATTGTCATCTGTCAGTCGCGAATGCACCTAATGCTATTGGCCCCCTTGGACCATACTTCCCACGTCGCGGTGCAAAGCATACGCCTTGGCCTTTGGGGGCCAAAAACTCTCCCCGTCCACCACGCCCTATGGTACAGATGTGCATCGCTCTGGCGGAGTTAACACCCCGTGGTCTAGATGCAGACTACGACGTCCAAGTTGAGTCCTTCTACAGACCTTATCATGACTTCATTGATGTCATGATGCGAATGTGTGTCAACACTGGAACTTTGAACGACACGTTGGTTAAGCTTCAATGTTTGGTAGCCATTGAGTCTACGCCACTGCACTTCAACTATTTTCCCAAATTCTGGGTGGGCATCCACAACAATGCACTGACGCACAAGTAAGTAAAAGTTCTGTGGAAGTTTTATTATATCAAAAATCATTATCGTCTTATTTCTTGCTAGATACGTTGATCTTCTGGTGAAGAATCAATTGCTAGTGGAGTACCTTCACAATGTCCTGAAGGATGAGCGTAGCATGTTAAAGGACGCCTGCGTACGCGAATTCCTGGAGCTTTATTACCACAAGGTTGCCGACCAGCTTCCGGTAGCACGTATGATCTACACGATAAACTATGGCATGCACTCTAAGGACGACATTGATGAACTGTGCGGCGATCTGTTCGCCATCCGCATCATTGCCCAGGCGACTGGAGTCCCAGCCTCAGTGCGTAAAGAGCTGCGAGGATCCCTGAGGGCACTTCAAAACAAGAGCGAAAGGTTTAGGAAGGAGTCGGAGCGTGGTAAGTCATCTATAGCCAATTGTGGTCTAACTTCTGCGAATATAAAGAATATTTGATTACCTTGAAATTGTAGAGCTTTTATTATATACTCCATTATTCTCAGATGCATTTCCAAACAAGAAGTTGAAACGGGACTCCCAGAAGGATAAGGAAAAGGATCAAGGGCAGTCGGATGGCGAGAAAGTCGTCTCAGTGGACACAGATAAACCAGCAGATGTTTCAATGGAATCTAGTGGTAACCCAGAAACAGTGGCAGACAGCACCAAACCACCTACTCCTGCCGGCAGCGATGATGAGCAGATGGAGAAGACGTCAATTCCTTCGTCGGATGATGAGACGGAGCTGGAGGATGAACTGCAGCCGACTCCTAAGCGTAACAAGAAGGCGTCAAACAAAAAAACTGCCCAAGATCGTCTCAACGAAGAGCGCGAAAAGCGTCTAATTACGCTGATTACCATGGAATCATATATCCAGAGCATTTTTGCCATCCTCAAACGGGATTCTGGTGTTCCCAATACAGGGTCGACCAAGGAACCAAGTGAGGAGCCGTGTGGTGAGGCCTCTACATCGGCGGCAGCAGCTGTAAAGTTAACCCGGCCCAAGGGAGCTTGTACTCCGCCCGAGCCGATGCCCGAAACAACTGATAAGCGGTGCAACATGGAAACGGAGGCGGAGGAGCAATCGCCAAAGGCGAGTCACACAAATGGAAGCCAACCGACCGAGTCCCCGCCAGCGTCCACTAGTAGAGACACTGCCCCAGCGAATCCGTCACCCGCCCCCTCAGCAGCCGTTGCATCAACGTCCCAAGCAGCAAGTCCTACACAGATTTAGTTGTCATTCAACGATTTGCTCAGCATTTTGTTTTTCGGCAAGCCAATGGACTGATAATGGGCCCCGGGGGCTGACCACGGCTGAGCTCCTAACCTGTAAGAATTTTGTGGCCAAAGGTCAATGTTAGGTACACGTAAACAACCCAAGGTTGGTGCTAATGGTTGTCTTGGGGGTGAGCCTAGGCACACACACACACACAAATCAGACTAATGGCAATTAAGAGCGACACAAGCTATTAAGCTCCCAACTTGATTTCCCTTTTCAGAAAATAGAAACTGCTGGAACTTCTCTTATCCGAGAACAACGAAAGTGGAAAGTGAAAACTGGTTAGGGGTCTCTATTAGACTTAGTTAAGCTTAACAACAAATAGCAATGTAACACACACATTCAAGCCCCGCACGCAACACCCCCATAACATACCCGACCGAACCACACACATATATTCAATATATAGATATAAATGTAACTAATTTAAGACTACCAAGCACGCAATGTCCCCCACAGAGAAGAGAACCCGTAAAAGATCCCCTTTCATATGGATAGTTAAGGAACACGTTTAAACAATCCAATGGAAAAATTTGTTATGCCAAAAAGAAAAATAAAAACAAAAAGAGCGGAAAAACAGTTGAATTAGAGGCAGAATTAATACCACAAATAAAATGTTTAAACGAGAGCAGTTAAAGAAGATCAATAAAACGGCTTATGAGACGCTAATATCTATATATGTTGTATTAGATCGATTAAGTATCATTTATAAAACGATGCTAAGAACATTTGCTTACCTTCTTTTCTCGCCTTTTCCTACCCCCCAAAATGCACCATAAACACGATACGTTAGAAATGAACAGATATTATTATATTAGAACTTAACGAAACATTTTAAATATTGGATGTGTTAAAATATTTCATAATCATTTTCAATGTAAATCGCATAACGCAAACCAATCGAACAGTTTTTAGTTTACATCCGATAAGGATAAAATGTAATGTTTAGGACGTAAGGAGTGTAGAGATTTTTCGTCCCAGGTGAAACACAATGGGACAAAAATGGTAAAATTAAATAAAGAAACTGGCCAGCCCTGATAAGGGTCGCGTATATGGATAGTTCTAAGAAATCACACACAAAAAACATAAGCGATCGATATCCACACAATGTAATGTTGAAAAACAACACAAAACCCAAAACCTAAATCACACCCAAACAAATCATGAGAATAATAAGTTTAAATGATATGTAATTGAAACAACGGGAATGGCTCTCATTGGGCGGGAATTTCTTTTAACCTGTTGCTTTTAACGTAGGGTGTTCTATTCCGGAAAATTGTCTAGCACGCAGGCGCTGTTCTAAATGCCAAATTCCGAAAAACTTTCACCCCAAATACCATTCTGTAAAATTTCATTGTACAATTTGGAGTTAAATTAAGCATCAACGCTTTCGAAAAAAAATTCATTAAAAAATGCCGTGTATTGGTTGTGGAAAAGGTAAATGTATATAAACAGAAAACCTGAGGTTCAAGATTCCAAAAGTTAAAAACAATCGTAGTTAATGAAAAATCTTTGTTCTATAAAGACACTTTGCATCGAATCTTATTTTCTTCGGAATTGTTCCAGATTGCAAATGCACCCCGGAAAAGTGCAGTGAAAGCTGCAAGTGCCAAAATCCCGGCAAATGTGGATGCAATCCATCGAATAGCTCCTCAAGCGGATGTTGCAAAAAGGCTGGTGACAACGCCGGAGGCGATGCGAAGGGAAAGTGCTGCGACGAGAAAAAGTAGAAGCTAATACCCATTGATGCAAGAGAAAAAATACATTTTCTTTCCGTTTATTTCTCGATGGCCATAACTGCTAGTGAGCGGTTATCATTAAATACATTTATTGTTTAATCGAAACAAAACCAAGGCTCTATACTTTTACTGCACAAGATAAACTAATGACCTATACCAGCATTGCTCCTTTGTGTTCAACCTTAATGGGTGGCAATGACTTCTTTTTTTTTTTTAATTTTTCTTTATTTTTTTGTAAATTAATTTTAAATAACAAAAGGTGGCAAAATGAGGCGCTTAGCAAACCAGCCAACAACAATGTGCACTCTGTTTATACATAGATTGCTTATGGAATTCTATACCAAAGATGAGATAATATGGAAAAGGCAAGGTGTGGGGGTAAGAAAGGAGGAGTACGCCTTAGATAGAAAATTAAACAAATTAAATTCGTTAGCGATTTCTTTATATTACAGCGTTAAATTTCATATATCCGTTTCAGACGCATAATCGTATGTAAAAAACAATTTAAAATTTCACTTTTCAACAGACACGAGCCACTTACTAATGATGCACTTACTCTTAAATATACGTAATATAGACCATCTACACTTCAATTAATGCAATATAAAAACAATTTCCTTTTAGGGCAATTAATAGCTAGACTTTTGTGTTTCTGGATCTTTCACACTATAGAAAGTTATAGATTTTTACAAATTAGAGGGGGTCGTCCTTTCAAAAATGGATCCTGCAGAGAGGCTCGAACCATTCTACTGGCCCATGGACACTTAGTTGCGCTTCGCTTTGCGCTTTTTGCGACTATTTGGCGCCTGGGAAGAGGATGGGGCCGATGGACTAAGGATGGTGGCTTTAGCCTTTTCTTCGTTGCTCCCGCCGAATTTGCGCCAGATGTTGTGGATGAAACCGTCGGCCTCGTTAATGTTGTTGCTCTTATTTGATTTGTATGCCACATTGTTGTTGTTGTTATTATTGTTGTTGGTTTTTGTTGCCGGCGGCGGCTGCGACGGCACCTGCTGCTGCGTCTTGTGCTGCGCTCCTTGGGCGTATTCTCATGATCGCTTCACCTTGCCGTTGGACGCATTCACCGAGTTTTGGGAGCGGTAGGCGGCGGCACCGCCTCCACCCACAGCCATTTCGGTCGCATGAGTAGCCACATGCTGGATGCCCTTCTCCATGCATCCGTGATAGATCGGTCGCATGAACTGCAAGTAAATAGTTTATTATTATGAATTTTAGGCGAGGTTTCAGTTACTTACCTTCTCCCACATGAGCGTTGCAAAGTCATCCAACTTGCCCCCAAAGTCACTAAGCTCACCGCTATATCTGAAATGAAGATATAGGGTATTTAAATAATCAATTAATTCTAAACAATTAACTTTTTTCTCAGTGAAAAATTGCAATTTCTCAAAGAGTATTTTCCAATAGAACTTACCTGATATAGGCCCACAGAGCCAGCGTTAGCAGCGCCACACCCATAATCAGGTTGCAGAAGTTGGCGAAAGTGTAAAGGCCCACCAATCCAAAGATGCCACTGAGGATATACATGATGACGGCACAGGCGAAGTACACCGCTGGGGTGCGGGCCGCCTTAAAGATGTTCTTACTCTCGTTGTGCGCTCGATAGTTAGAAAAGACCTCCTCGAGATCATCCTCCAGTTGTATGCGGAACTTCTCGGTGAACTCTTCGCCACCCATCTTGCGCTTTGTGGCAAACTGAAAGAGAGCCTTGTCTTTCACCCGCAGGTGCTCCGTCTCCAAGTGAGCGGTGCTTAAGTACGGCCGCGTTCCGCCGCATACCTCCTCCATGAGTTGTCCGTATAGCTCCTTGGCGGCGGCCACGGCTGTCAAGTGGTTCGCCTCGGCGGTGGCCACCAGCATGCTTTTCGGCTCTGGAAGCTCATTGCCCTTGTAGATGTTCATGTACGACTGGAAGTACTGGATGAGATCACGAGCCCGCACCCGTTGTCCGCTAATCTCCTTGTAGACCAGATTGTCCGGCGCCAGCAGCATGGGTACCAGGGATCGCAGGCTGTTCTTGAACTCGGGTGTGATGTCCGTCAACCGGCCGTCGAACTTTGGATTGGTGGCCACATTGAGACCAGGATGCGGCATTAGGAAGCATGCCACCTCTGTGAAACAGGACGAAATGTGGCGACGCAGGGACTGAAGCTCAGGGTGCTGTTTGTCGGAAACCTCCAGACGACGCTTAAGAATCTTATCGCCACCCAGTGCTCCGTACTCTGCTTCATAGGGAAAACTCCAGTCGCGGACAAGGAACTGCAAGCGCTGGAAAGGCTTCTTGCCGGTGTCGGCCAACGCCAAGCGGCCATACTCGGTGAAGAGCTGCAGGTGCTGCAGGTCGTCCTCCTGGATGTTCTGTGACAAGTTGTAGATCTGCACCGACGACAGCATCGTGCTTAGCGCAAAAACGGTGGCACAATCACGCACCGTACTCTGACTATCGAAAGCGCCCTGTGTGTCCAACAGAATGATGGCAATCTTGTCGCCGTTGGGATAGTCGTGCAGGAATATGTCAGACCACATGAGGATACCGGTGGTGTCGCGCTCAGAACCACCTCGCCAGGAGAATCCTTCCAGTGGATCTGATTCATCGCCCAACCAATCTGTCACATCGTGATGCACATACTAGAGTTTGCAAAAAAAATATTATTAGAACAGATCCCTTAATATGGCATCTTAAAACCCACCTTTGAGTACATATAGCGCAGAAAGAAGTCCAGCAGGAAGCTTTTGCCTTTCCGGAACGCTCCCGCCACAGAGACAACGCAGACAAACCGATCCTTGACCGCATCCTGCATAAGGACCTCGCTCAGCGCATCCTCGTTGAGCACAAAAGTGTGCTCCTCGGAGGCGTTGATCACCTGCACTGCCGAGCCGCCCATTGTGGTTTCTGGGATCCTGGTGTCTCTGTGTTTTCAGCTGAGTGTCTTCCTCCGTTGGGGGAATTCTTTCCGATTAGTTAATCTGAGGGATTATTTCGATCTGTCAACTGCAAACAAAAACAGAGAGCTAAGATAAATATGGAGAAAATGTTTATTTTACTTTGTAGCGAATTTTCCATTTCCGGAAAAAGGGGAAAATCGCTAGTCTGGGCCTAACGGTTAATTGCGCAAGCCTCTTCGAGTTCATTTAATTTTGGCACAGCCACAAGACACGAGCGACGGACAGAAAGGCCTGCAATTATGAGAGGTGGCCAAAAATAAACCTTAACCATGCGCTCCTCTGCGATCGCAGAAGATGCCAGCGACAGAAGAAAAGCAGCATGTTGTAAGCGGATTGTTCAGGTGCGTGGGATATATGTATCTATCTTGGGAAAGGTACTTGCTACGTGGGCAATAAAATAACCTTATTTGTGATCAATAACTTGGAGGAAAACTTGAATACTTCGTAATAAGCATAACATCAAGTAGAATGAAAATGTGTTGCTTACAATTCTCATTGTAAGTTTTCTAAGCCATAAGACTTTTCTTTACTTTACGATTAGGTTAGATTGATATTTTATATTATTACTGCTATGGTCAGATTTACGTGTAACTATCTGGACAATAAAAACTTTAAATAAGAAGAAAATTATAGTGGTAGAACAGCAATTATTCTGTTTAATTATAATTAAAAGTTTTATCACGTAAGAAAACAGCTGTGCATTCGAACAAAACAGATCTGCATGAAAATAAAATACTTTAATAAATAAGCGATTTATGATAATTGTGAAAGATAAAATATATCACTTGAAAGCATATTGTTTTTGTTACTACTAATGGTATTAATTATTGATTAAAAACCGGTCTCTTTGGCCGATGATTAAATGGGTTTCAACTTTCGTGATGTTTTTCGAGAAACAAATTTAACTTTTATTAGAAATTCAACAAAAACTGGTATTTGAGGTGATAATATTGACCTTATTATTTTTCTGATTTATTTATTTGTTTTTTGCACGATCATTTTTTGCCACCGGCTTTGCCTGGGTTATAACAGCACAAATAAGGTTTATATTTTGAAGGGTTTCCAAATCGGGTTAAACGTATTCGGTACAATTCAATGTTTGAATGTAAACCTACTGGGAGCACATTAAAATTAATTTCGTTTGCTGTGCCGTGATGACGTCGACAACTTTTGTCGCGCTACGCAGTTTGACCACTTGAATTCTAATTGGAAGCGCAGCCAAAACAAAGAGACCATACCAAACAACAACTGCAGCAGGGTAAGATGTAGAGATCAACGATTATATAGCCCAAATAAAAGTTATGCTGGTCCCTAATTGAGTCCGATTCGGATACGGAATGAGAACTTTTGAAAATAAATACACGACCAGCGCGACTGTCAACCAAATCAAACTGCAGCAACAACACGCAAGTCACCAAATGGATTGGCTTGCTCAATGGAAGAGTGAAAAGAGAGTGGCACTTGCCCTCTCTCTTTGGCGATCACTTCTCTTATTTGTGCTAGGCCACATGGCAAATTAGGTAAAGAGAAAGTGGAGAGAGGGGTGTCAAATTGGTGCCGCAGCAGCTGCAACGTTAGCAAAATCGCGTCCGTCCAATTAACACATTGCCACTTAATTAAATGCAACATTTGCCAAGACTTTGGCGCGCTGAATTGGAAATTTAAAATTTTTAAAACAAAAAACACATCTGGCAATGCTGTCTTGAAGCTAGGCTTGTCCAGCAGGTGTGTGAGCAGTCCACGCAGCTATGCCAACGATCACTATACATATTAGTTATCTCGCTTTTTCCTGCTCTACCAACCATTAACAGAGGATGTAAACAAAAGTGTTGGAAGGTAACAGCAACAGTTGTGCAGCTAGCGTCGACGTCGGCAGAGCGATTAGTCAACTGGAAACATGGTTGCCGAGAGCAACAAAAACCACTGGCTCACACTCAATAACAGAACGGCAGTGGAAGAAGAAGCAGAAGCGCTTGGAAAATGTTGAGCGGGGAAAAAGAATAAAAGTTATCAATTTGCCTAAATTGGTTGCCCGTGAAAAAGTGTTTAATTGGTAGCCCCCCAAAAAAAAACCCAAGGCGGATACTTGTCATCCGGCGTGCAGAAGCTAGCTCATTCGAGATTTGCAAGCCATGGAATGCAGTTCAAGAAGCGGACACCGCCCAATCACGATATGGCTCCACACCTGTCTCGTGGCCATGTGTTTGGCCCTCACAGGAGGAACACCTACCCCGCAGGAAACACCAGCCTACTTTTATGTGGGTTGCTATACGGCGCGAACGGATCTACTCCATGAATCTGTATACGCCAAAACTCCACAGACCTGCATCGAAATCTGCGAGCATCAGGGACACCTCTATGCCGTTCTGGCTGCCGAGAAGTGTTTCTGTGCTAATGTCCTGGAGCAGCAAGAACTGCAGAACGAACAGCTGTGCAACACCCGTTGTCTGGCCAATAAGGCGCAGTATTGCGGGGGAGTCGGTGTTCACTCTTATTACTCCACCACACTGACCAAACAGCCAGCTCCTCATCATTTAAGGATTTCTAACAAAACGGAAAACAGCCTTACTATCAACTGGGATGCCTATGAGGCCAGAAAACTTCTTCTGGCGGGCGGCGCAGAGGCAGTGCTGCCCAACCAAAGGCTGGATAATTTTATTATACGAGCTGAGGTTTTAAAGACTTACTCCTCTCTGCCCACCTTTCGACAGCCGGAGTTCATGGTGCAGAGTACGGAAACACAGTTTGAACTGACGGACTTGCAACCTGCTACTCTCTATAACATCTCCGTTCAGGCAATTTGCCGGGATCCCCAGGCAGGACAGTGCGGGCACGCCTCCATAGAAGCCAGCACCGAGGTAGGTTCTGCCACAACTTTCATCGAGTCTTATTAAATTCGTTTATTGTTTCAAATTTTAGGTGGGCCAACCGAGTCCCGCTCCCGCACAACCAAAAATCCTCAGCCGTACCGACCGCACTGTGACCATAGAGCTATCGCCTATTCGGAATGACAACGGACCGCTGAGTAAACTCCTCATTATCGTGGAAAAATTGGACAACGCTTTAATCCGGCCATTTGATTCGCAGCACTTGGGTAGCTGGCAGCAGGCTCAGCAAGATGGAGTGCCTTACTATATAGCTGCCGAGTTAGATTACGATCGGCCGGACGACAATCGTACCCGCCATTTTGTGATCGGCGATGGCAATCGATACGGACGATTTAACAATAAACCGCTGGATCAGCCAAACGCACATGTCCACATCAGTCTCGGCTTGGTGAGTAATGCATTGTAAGAGAAGCAACTTGTAAAAAAAAGTTGTTAAATGTAAGGAATGGATACATTACTATCATAATCAAATGAGTAGTATAAACATTTTACTTTTTAATTTCTAGGTGAGCACTCTGGATGGCGTGACCAAGACACTATATAGTCGTGGAACCCACGACCAGGACGTAACATCGCTGGACGACTTCAGCTACGCCACCTTTGATAAGGGTCAATCCTCGGTAGTTGCCCTGGCCGTTACCTGCGTAATTTTTGGCACCTGCCTACTGCTTAGTCTGATTGCCTACTTCTATTTGCGCTATAAAACCTGCCGAGGACGACGTTCAGCTGGGGGCAATACTCATGAGATGACGCTGCAGACGCCAATAATCGAAAGGGAGAACAATGGCTTTCTGGCGGAGGACGATCCGCTGTCACACTCACCGGAAAACTTTAAGCAGCAATTGCAGCACTTGGTAGAGGGGTTTGAACGAATACCGAGGAATACACTCCGGCTGAATGTGAACGATGTAATTGGGGAGGGACGCTTTGGAGAGATTATAACAGGAAAGGTGTCTACCAATGACTTCTCAAGGGATTGCACTTTGCATGTGCTGTGCCTGGATGATTTGAACGGAACTACACAGGCACAGTTGATACGGGAGCTGCGTCAGTTATCCTACTTGAAGCGCCAGGAACATTTGCTAGATTTCTATGGAGTATCATCCAGTCCGGATTGGTTTTATCTAATCTTCGAGCAGCAGCGAGTGAGCCTTAAGAGAAGATTGGTGGAAAGTCGCCTAATGTCTCCCTCCCAACGCCTCACTTCCCTATCTGAGCAGCTAGTGCTGCAATGGATCTACGAACTGACCAGTGCAATGATCTATCTATCCAACTGCCAAGTTGTGCATCGACAACTTTGTTCGCACAGCGTCTTCGTGACCGGCGAGTCGAAGATAAAACTGAGTGTCTTCGGACCGCTACAGTATATGAACACCAGTCGCCAACAGCCTGATCAAAGCAGATGGTTGGCTCCAGAGGTCCTACGTCACCAGCATCATCACTCCACCCGCTCCGATGTCTGGTCACTGGCCTGTGTGGCCTGGGAATGCTGCGCTTTGGGCGGTACTCCATATGCCACGGCCGTGGGCAGTAACCAACAGCTTCTAGAGGCGATTCGAGCTGCAGTACGTCCCGCACAGCCAGCCTATGTCTACGGGGATCTATACCAGCTGCTGCTCAACTGCTGGCAAGTAGAGCCAAGCGAACGGAGCAGCTGCGAGGACGTGGCCTTCGGAGTACGTCAGCTGATGACCTCACCGCGGCATGCCCTCAGCTTCGATCGAGTGGCGGGCGGATTAGACACCCTGCCCCCATACCTGCCGCAGCTGGAAACGATTGCGATGATGGGTTGAGGTGCAACCGGATAGAATAATTAGCTTTACTCAGCGAGAGCCAATAGTCGCGTACAGTAGATTTCGGTTATGAGTCACTTCTGCCAAGAGAAACATCTCTTAATTCTGATTCTAGATGTGTTTACTTGCAATTTATTTGTTAATGGTGAGAGAAAACCATTTGTTTTAGCATTTATTGACCAAATTGATTTAATAAAATCGTTGGATATGCATTTAACGATATATTTCAGTTTAACCATTAAAAAGTTGAAGAATCTCAGTTTACATTTCTTAAATTAAAATTGAATTTATCGAAGAGATCCTTTAAAAGGAATTTTTGAACTAGAAGCACACGATTATGTACACATATTTTACTTTGTGTATTCATTTTTATTTTAGAATTATTTGTTGAGACTAACCGTCATCCACTGCTTGTAATTTGGCTCCTCAAGAACAAAAATCAAATCGAACAAACTACGTATGTAAATATTTACATACTGTAGCCAAATAAAACCGTGTTCTACGTTACATTTAGTCGTATCTATAAGGTAGCAGCTAAAAGCTAATCAACAACCCAAAACAACTGAAACAAAGTTCAATCGAACGAGCTCGATAAAGAGGAAAAGATTAAGAGGCTGACAGGGCCGGCGTCAAAATTGTGTAATAAAAAAATATTGGGATCCATGGCGAATAGATCTCCCTACCAAGACACTGTAAATCCCCGCTGATGTTGCACAAACCAGACAAAAGCGAAAAATAAAAGCGTGCAAAAAGCCAAGAGAGCGAATGCGAAACTTTGATCGCTGGCGTGCCAGCAATTAATAATAGAAAATAAACGGCAGTGTTTTGCACAAGTGTGTGTGAATCAAAATTGACGATTAATCAGTTTAAAGGTCTCGGCACTGCATCTATTGTTTCTTATGTTGTTTAAGAATTAATTAGAGAAATTTTTGGCAGCATGAGCGATGCTGTTAGATATGCTATTAGTCATTGGAAAGAGTAGGGCTCTCTCTATGATAAATATGTTCCATTTGTTTGGGTTATAATCTTATAGTGGAATGCACAAACAATCGAATCGAAAAAATCTGGTCATACACATACATTTTAATATTTTCCTGTTGAATATTTTGTTGAAACTAAAATAATTTAGCGGTCCGGTGAATAAAACTTTGGATATTTGACCAATTTTTTGATTTCAGATTTCATTCATATAAAAACTTTGATATTAAATAAACAAGACTATGGTAAACTCCTGAAAATAATCGCCATAGCATATAACAATTTCTTTCTATGCAGAAAGCTTATCTCCGGATCCTTCTAATAAGAAGATAAGCCATCGTTTGTCTTGTCGACGTGTAACAATTGAAACTATTGGAACAAAAGCACATGGCTCTTACCCTATTAAGAGTGACTTTCTCATAGAGTATATGGTAAATGAAGCGCAACAATATCCATAGTGACTTTTGTACGCTTACCTTGTCTAGAATTCAAGGTGAATGACGACGAACAATTGAAGTCACCTAAATGTGTATACATTCCCCGCAAATGGCCAATAATTATTAATAAATCAAGCCAACGTAATCGGAATTCGAGGGCTTCTGCTGCTGTTGCTGCCGATGATGATCATCATCATCCGGAATTGGCCAACTTTTCGAGTGTTTAGCATTCGCCTGGGCAAATTGTTATTGTTTTTGTTACATACACACATGGAGATTTTGAGGAATCCAAGGAAACTGGTTGCTCACACACTCACACATACACACACCTCAACACAGGCCTGCACGCACACTATGAAACACCAGCTAACTGCGCAAATAATGCGATTTAACGATCGGCTATTGTTACTCACTTTATTTAAGCATTTACATTGGACACTGGACTCCTCTGCGCTCTTTTTTTTGGACACTTTGGTAGCAGAAAAGTACTTATTTTGTTTGTGCTCTGCTAATGGTGTGACCGTTTGCGGTTTGGCGGGAAATCATGTATAAACTAGCGATAATAAAGTTAGACAACACTATAAAGCGTTATCGATAATATAGCTATTTTTGGTATTAGCTAGATGGTACATTTACACGGTGATCTCACGGTCACACTGCGGATTGAGTGACGAACGGCCACCCTGCGCTGGACCGATGATGTGGATTTAAAAGTTAAATAGTTTAAAATTAGGAATAACAAATAAGAATGGACATCACCCAGACCTTCAAGGCCAGCGTTATGACGGTGCGCCTCCAGCGAAAGGCTGAGCTGGCCAGCAAGGCGAAAATAGCCACAGTGTCAACAAAAACTGGATCAACAGGCCCAAAGGATGATTTCGCCAAGAAGGCTAAGGAGGTGTGCAATAAGATCACAGCCCTACGCAATGTACTGATCGAGAATCGGACCGCCTATATGCGCATTGGCCAGCATCTTAAGTCCGCCGCTCACATGACCGACGCACAGCGGGATCTTATTGATCGAGAGTCGGAGAAGTTTGTCACCTTCTACACGCAGCACCTGGCCAAGATGCGCAGCGACTGGAAGGGTGCCAAGCGGAAGCCCCAAGAACGCCAGCACATAGATGCCGTACTCGACCTGCTGGTCAGCTATTTGCACAGTGTGGAACAGATCTATCTAGACCAGAAAAAGTACCGGGTGCAGCACGAATTGGAGACCTATAGGCTGCTTAAGCTGGCGGCGGACAAAAAAAAGATTCCAGTGCGTCCGGCGGGTATTAATAGTGGCAAGCTGGGCAGGCGCCAAGTTAGCCATGATGAGAGCGAACCCACAGAGGGGACTTCTCCTTCGGAAAATGGTAAACCCAACGAATCTGCCGACAACGACTGGAACAACGACGGCTGGGGAGAATGGGATGAAGATGAGGAGGAAGCCGAGGTAGATGACCACGATGGACAGGAGGAGAAGGAGGTCGCCAAGGTCAGCCAACATAAACCCCGTACGCGTAAACGAAGCAACCCCAATAGATCGGTTCTAAACGACTCATCCGCGAAGGTGGCTATGGATGAGGAGCTCCAGAAGCAGCAGGAGGCCGACGATGATGAACCACTGAGCCCAGAGGATGTGCAACTTTTTGAAGCGGAAAATGTACACATCTATAACTTTCTTCAGGGCGTCTCCGAAGAAGTGGAGCAGATCGAAAAGAATGTGGTGGACATTGCCCAGTTGCAGGACATTTTCACCGAGAAGGTAAGAAACTAGCATCATCGAAGTCCCTGAACTTAATAGTATGCACTCTTAGTTTATGCAAGCTTCGTCAGTGTTTGGTTAGTCCTTTAGCCTTGTTAAACTTAATTTGATTTCCATATAGCCAAGGTTTTTTATTTAAGTAGTTATCCGTACATATGTCCATGAAATTGATCCATCAATCAAACTCACTAATTGCTTCACACGTGTAATCCTTAGATGCACCTGCGAATTATACACACTAAGCGCTTTCTTTTTAAAAAATGAACCAATTATGAATTTTCCATATGGTCAGAAGGATTTTTCATACAAGTAGCCTTCCTTATGTCCATAAAACTAAGCCTTAAATCAACAATTTTAATTGGTTGGATGCAATCCTTTTGCTGACGCCTAGAGTCTCCATGAGTACCTAGCTCCTATTAGCATGCAATTAATTAGCAACTAGTCCCACCAAGATCCTCGTTTTAATAACCTGTAATCCTCTTATATTTCCCGTTCTTAGGTCGCCATGCAACAGCACAATATCGACAGAATTGTCAGCGCCGTCGTTGGCACCACGGAAAATGTCAAGGACGCCAACGAGCAAATCCGCCAGGCCACTCAAAGAAATGCTGGTCTCAGGGTGTGGTCCCTGTTCTTCTTGCTGGTCATGTCGTTCTCACTTCTCTTCTTGGACTGGTACTACGATTAAGTGAAACCCCCAATAAATTTTTTGTATATCACATTTCAGAAATGAATCAGCAAACATGTTTGTTATCGTTGGATCGCATATTTTGTTTATTACATAATTTATAAATAAAAAGAAAAAATATCTGTATAGGCTACTTCAACTCTGCCGTGTTTCATTTCAATGAAGCAACTTACAATAATATAATGGAACTAAAATCGATTTGAGCTGGTTTTTACTCACTCTCAATTGTCAGTTTAAATTCTATACCAATGTGTTAATAACCATATGTTATAGTGCTGCTTGGTACATTACGTAAGTCTAGGTACTTAGTTCTAATATTTTCATTAAACGCTCATCAAAAAATATGTTTAACTGGGAACGGAAATCAGCAATAGGTATGTCTATGGACTAAAGCTAACCTTTGTTTATTTATTCCAATTAGTTTCATTGCATGAATGTATAGGTTCTAACTATCTTAAGAACTATATTATTATTTTGTAGCCTTAAGATTTGTGTTTCTGAGGGAGTGTATCCTTGGCTTAGTCTCTAGATATCATAATATATGTTTTAAGTGCAATATGGGATTGCATTCAATGCAGTCTGCTGGTTCTGGTCAATTAAGAGTTAACTGTTATTCATTTCTTGGCTCTCCAATTAGAAGAATGGAAGCTATTTGCCACTGAATGTGGCAATATTGTAGGAAGGCGCCGTTTTTTTTTGGCTAGGTTTCTTGTGAGTAGTTAAAACTAAAGCATTGTACACTAAATAATAAGCCGACCCCTTTTGTTATGGCGTTGCGGCAATAGTTTCCTGGGCCAGGCTGTTGCCAGCACAACTCTCCACCGAATTGGGGTATTCGTCTAGACTGTTGTACACGTGTCCGCCACTGCTCATCGGTGTCAATGGTGTCTCTTCGATGGGTGTGGGTGGATTCTCCAGCTTATCGCTGCTGTTCGTGTTGCTAGTGTTGTTGCTGGGTGACTTTGATGCGGCTTCCTCGTTGAGAAATACGCCCATGGGCAAATGGGTGTTCATGTGCGCTAAAGAAAATTAAGGTAGAATTAGTTACTACATGACTCACAAATTCGATTTCTTAAAGCTTAAAGTGAATCTTAACATTGAACATGCAAGAAAAACTTGGCCCTTGGGCATTTAACTATCCCTGCTATATTTTATTACAATTATCTAGAACCCTCAAAGTAACTTTATTTAATAACTTATAGTGTTGCCAACTTTGTAGAAACATTTTAAGATTAGTTAGTAAGAACATTGGACATTACATCGTTCAGAAAGCCAAAATACAGAGGCAATGTTAAGTAGGAAAATGATTACTGATAAAGAAAATTAATGGGCTTCATAGTATTGTTAGAAGCTTTGGTGTCAATAATTTATAGCCTTAAGCTTCTTTGACACACTTTTATTAAATGACATTTAGGTAGACAAAGGAATGCTATTTTGGTAACGAACTTTTGAGTAATGCAGCAGTTTGTTAATAACCGAATTTACAATGTTGGCAACACCATTAACAGGCGAAAGAGACGACTTTACCCCGAAAACTTGTGAAACGCATAAAGGAGCTTGGACAAAACTTGCATTTGTAAAACATCTCGCTGTGGGTGCGACGATGCTTGCGCAATTCTTTGAGATACTCGAATGTCCGATCGCAACCGTCGCACTGGTAACCAAGCTCTGGAATAGACAATTTATGTTGGCCTTTTTTTATCGTATCTGCATATTGGAATCGGTTGTGTTTTAGCAATTAGGATTCACGCTCACGGTGATCTTGAAGTGAACCAACATATACTCGAAGATAGCGATATAAAAAAAAATAAACACGCTCATCACAAGCTTTTTTGGTTAACTATATATTTTACTAGCTCGCCGAACGAACAACCAACATGTAACAACATTGATTGATATATGTTTTTCGGTTTTTTTTTTCTCTTTTTTTGGGGTTGAAAGTGCGTTGCGAAACTAATAGAAATGTTGTGGTTTCAACAATATAAATTCCATTTAATTAGATTGTGGTTAAGCAGAAACTAAAGCAGTTTATATATACAGCTAAGGAATGTTTATTCAATTGAATATTAATTGTCAGTCATTTCCTAAGAAATTCCCACGTGTTACGAAACGCACTTCTACTATTACAAAATGTATACAAATAGGTGATCGGGTCATTGCATTAATAACAAAGGGGCAAGTAATTATGAATAGTTAGAAAAGCTTAGCCAGGCTTATAGCTACCTTGTAGCTAGCTCAAATATCAATGTGGCAATTATCAGAGTTCAAATCTTGGGGGTAATTAACTTTAAACTTTGCAAGTCGTTTGACCGGGTTTACCAAGTAACTACCAAGCGTTTTTTGGGGACTTGTTTATAGTTTATCCACTCAAAAGCTACATGCGGGCAAGTTCATAAACAATTTATGTTAGCTTATCTTATGGCTAAAAGCATAGTACGTAGGCTGTGCGTTAATTCATGCCAAGCATTAGGAATACCCATACCATAAATCGATATTGGCATTCTCGAGACGAAAGCCAAATGTTCATGGTTGTCATACCTTTGGAACATGTTACCACGGTTGAACAAACTGCCGACAACAATACAATACAATGATAACAATTGATGGAGGATTAGTAAGAGGCTTATAACTCAAGCTGAGACAGGCAGAGCAACACTAAGACTAAATGAATGGGGGATTTGTACGGTAGGTTAAATGCTAGGCAACGCCAAAAAAAAAAAAAAAATGAAATAAAACCCCTTTACTTTATTTGCTCTCAATACTTACCACCATGGAACTTAATGTGCGTCTTTAGGGCACTCTCTGTACCAAACTGTTTGCCACACTCGTCGCAGGTGTGCGGCTTCGAGAGCAGGTGCACCGTGATCTTGTGCAGCGTCAGCTGCGATGGTCGCGGGAATCGTACGCGACATATGTTGCACTCATAGGGTCGTCCCTCAGCATCATGCGACTCCATGTGCCGATGTAGCGCCGTTCGCATGCGATAGCCACGCTTGCAAATGGTGCACACAAACGGCATCGTCGCCTGAGATCCATGGGCCAGCTGATGGTGCTTCTTCAGTGCTATTTCATTGGTGAATCGATCCTCGCAGTACAGGCACTGATGGGTCGTCCGCAGGTCGTTTAACTGCACCATGGACGGTGGAGCGGGCGATGGAGGCGGAGCTGGAGAAGCAGGCGGAGCTGGGGAAGCTGGCGGCGCATGATCCACAGTCGACGAGGAGGGCGACGATGACGGTGATGGTGATGCTACTGGCGTGGCCACATGCAATGGGCCCTGTGGCCCTACAATAACACCACGCTTACGATACTGTCGCAACGTGGTCGTGGAATCTGGCTCGGATTGTTCCGGCGAGGGCATTGTTATGTGCTGCGAAAACATCATAGGCTGAGGCGAAGGTGCAGAGACAATTGTAGAAGGCGGAGTCAACACCGTTGGTGGAGCCTGCACCGACGGCAACTCCTCAAAGTGCTCGCTGCCATGATGGCCGGAAGTACCTGGAATGGAAGTAGAAACAAAAGTTTCAGAACGGAACCAAATTGGGCCATATTATTCGCTTGGCTGCTCCTTTCCAGCTGAAAATGTCTAGTCATGGTGATGGGGCAGCCAAGTGATTAAACAAACATTTCAATTAACTTACAATCTTCGCAATCTGGACAACAGAGAATCTTCCGTGGTGTGGTTGGGCTTGCTTGGATTTCCATGGCTATGGATAAGATTATCGGTTAATAAGAGATTGTTTCGGTGAAAGTATAAGCCAAAAAAAAATACTCACTTGATGGATGGGGCGACTGTGGCTGCATTAACGGTTGTTGCTGTGCTTGCTGCACTGCCAACACGTGTTGCTGCTGCTGTTGCTGTTGCTGTTGCACTTGTTGCTGCTGCTGCTGCTGTTGCGCTTGTTGCTGATGCAATTGCTGCACTTGTTGTTGCTGCTGCTGCTGTTGTTGCTGCTGCTGCTGTTGTTGCTGCTGCTGCTGTTGTTGCTGTGGTTGATGCTGCACTTGTTTCTGCTGCTGTTGCGGTTGATGCAGTTGCTGCACTTGTTTCTGCTGCTGCTGTTGTGGTTGTAGTTGATGTTGTTGCTGTTGCAACCGTGGTTTATACGGCCTACCCCGCTTTCGTTGGTTGGTGATCTCGAGCTGGACATCGTCCAATTTCACTGGAGTAGGGTCTTTCTGCAATTGCATATGAATCCGCTGAATGTGCGCGTCCAAAGCCTTCTGGGAAGGGAACACTTGGGGGCATTGACCGCATTGATACTGCTGCACCACATGGTGGCTAAGGATGTGCTGTGATCGCTTTGTCCTGCTGGCAAAGGCCACGGGACAGTGTGGACAGTTGAATGGTGCCACCGCCGGATGCAGATCGATGATGTGTCGGCTGTACTCCAGGCTGCTGGAGAATCGCGGTCCATTGTGGCAGAAGCGGCACTTGAGCGTCAGCGCCCGACCCTTGGGTGTGGGGACGGGAATGGGGGTAACTTTGGTGGATATGGATGTTGCTCCCGGCATTCCCAATACTGGATGGCTTTGTACCAGGCGATTTCGTTGCGGCAAAGCTTGATACTGCTGTCGTTGGAATTGCTGTCGTATCTGTTGGCTTTGCGTGTGCTGAAGTTGTTGGGCATTGTTGCCGATGTTAGCACCGAAGATATGCATCGGTGCCTGCTGAGGATTGCTAGACGAGGCCACCGGTTTCTGAGACTCCGGCTGCTGGATAAGTATCATAATCGGTTGTTGTTGCGCCTGAAGATGTTGCTGCTGGGCTAGCTGAATTTGCTGTTGCTGCTGGCGATGTTGTTGCTGCTGCTGCTGCTGCTGCTGCTGATGGTTCACCTGTTCTATCATGTAGCTGTCATTGCCGGCTGGCTGTAGCATAGTGAAAGTTTCGTTCTGCTGGGGATACAGATCGCTGGCATTGATGTAGTATGTGGTAGTTGTGGGTGCAACTCTTTCCGTCGGCGCACTCCTTATGGCCTCCAGTCCGCCCACCGATGACCACTGGACCTGTTGCTGTCGTTGCTGTGACTGTTGGGTCTGCCACTGCCTTGTTTCGGATCCAGCCGAGGGCAGCGAGATGACCTGCATCTTGTTGGATGATTGCTGCACTGTCTGCTGGACAATGTGCTGTTTATAGATCTGTTCATAGGTGACCGTCGTCGTCGTGCCCTGCGTCTGGACATGGGGCACCACTTGCGACTGAAGTTGCAGCTGAGGATGATGCACTTGGGGTATCACTTGGTGCTGAACTTGCGGAACGATTTGAAGAGTTTGGTGCTCTTGGTTTTGGATTTGAATGTGAGGCTCGATTTGCGGTGGGATTTGAAGTTGCATCTGAGATTGGTCATGAGGTTGTACTTGAGGCTGATGCTGAGGAGACTGCACTGTTAGGATCTCGTGCTGAGACATCTGAGTCTCGATTTCAGGTTCCATTTGGATTTCAATCTGTGACTGAACTTGGGGCGATGATATGGGAGATTCATTTGGAGACTGTTCTGCAGACTCAACTTGGGGCTGAAGGACATCCTGCACTTGGAGGTTGGCTTGGCCATCAATATGGACGGTCTCCAGTGTCTCAGCTTCGGTCCCGACGAGTTGTTCCTGTTGCTCCTGAATCGGCTGTGCCGGCTGAAGATCCCTTAAGAACTGGGTTAGCTCTAAATGCAAATTCTGTCCCTGCTCTGTTGTGGTCTCAATATTCTCAAAGCAAGGAATGTCGTTCTGGAAGCCAATCAGTTCGCTACTAAAGTTGCTATTATCAAAGGGATCATCGCTGGCACTAGGTTTGGGCTCAGGCTCAGCAATAGGACTCTGCTCGAAAGGATTGGGCGGCGATGAAACGGACGTCTCTTGTTCAGTCATTGGAGCATAATCGGCGGGAGTAAGGAACTCATCAATGTGGGCACAGTTTGAGGTATACATGTGCTGGTCCTGCATCTCGCTGAGTATGCCATTGAGAGTGGTCTCCACGTCGTTCATCTCCACTTCTAGTTTCTGCTTGGCCTCCAGATCGTTAAGGGGCAGCAAATCCGTGGGAGTGGGTGATGGTGCTGGAGTGGTGGCCTTTAGCTGCTCAACACCGTTCGCACAGTGCTTGGCAAACTCGGCCATAAAGTCCATGGGCGTTGGTCTAGATCGCACCGGCTGCACGTCAGACGAATCCGTTTCATCGGAATCCATTTCCCTCGTTTGTATCGCTTCAATTTCTTGATTTCGGAGTGCCACAGCAGAATTGAAGCTATCTGCTGTAGCACTCTGGCAAAAATTTTCATCATTCTCATTGTTATTGACATCATCAGGTTGCAAGGGCCAGTCCTTGGACGTGGCACTGCCGCTCTCCAGGAGCTCCTCAGTTTCCGGATCCACGCAAAGACGACGCTGCAAATTCTCATCTAGCACCTCCAGCGGTATGCTTACTATCATCTCCTGCTGATCAACAGATTCACTGGATTCATGTTGTTCTATGATTTCCATTTGTTGCAGAATAAATTGCGGCTGCGATTCACTGGATTCGGTGGACGAGGTCAACTCCTCGGATTGTACTAAGTCAGCTTCAGCCTGGATGGCGTTCGAAATGGTTTCGATGTCCTTTTTAACGGCAAGATCATCAGATGAATTTTCTATTATGCTAGAGGCTTCCAGATGTTCCAGTATTTCCTTGACGGACATATCCCCATCACTCGGAACACCCGTACATGCCTCGTTAATGGGTCTTGTTTCCAGTTTGGCCAGTTCTTCCTCAACGTCTAAGGAATTTGGAGCTGCAGTTACGTTAACTAACTCCTCATTTATAGCATCTGTTGTCTGGCTGAAACCCTCTATCACGTCATTTAAAATGACTTCCGTCTCCTTTTCACAATGGATTATCTCATAGTCGAAACGACTTGAGTTGATGTCATTGCAGTCCGTTGGGCTCGCATTCCACGGCACTTCCTTTTGAACGTCGGATGTGCTATCAATAGATTGGACACTGTTTTCCACCCTTTCTTCCGGCGGGAAAATATCCGTTTGATCAGACTTTTTATTCTCTTCGGTAACCCTTTCTGCCATAACCTTTCGCTTCTGAGACTCTCTTCTGACCAGAAACCTTCTCTGTCTTTTGGGTGGATTGTTAAGTGGTGTATTCCGTGGACGTCGACCCCTACGCGGTATCAAATCATTCATTGGTGACGGAGGCTTTGCTTTCGGGGACATCCTCTTATCGATGACCATCGATTTCGATGCTGTGCTAGAGGTAGAGGAGGGATTGCTGTCGCTTTCGAAGCCACAACATGGACCAACAGAAAGATCGCTCGTGTGTTCGCTGCTGCTGGCACTGCTGCGTTGATGATTTGGTGAGGTGAGTTTCTGTGGCGAGGAGCGTTTTGGTGGCGAGCGACTGGATAACCATGTTTCCGAAAGCTGCTTCCTGGCAGCCTTCGTCCTCCAGGGCATACTGCTGGCATCCATTACACAGCCGATGGAGAAGGTTCGTAACTTACGTAGTCGTTGTTGCACGGGACTTGATTTGGGCGGTGGCAAATCCTTTGATTCCGTTCGCACCTGTTTGACTGCAACAGCTGCTTCACCGGTGAATTCTTCTTCCGATTCCGATACCATACGGCGTTTTCGCACGGATTGCTCTCGGTTGGTGGACACCTCCTGTCTATAGTGCTGACTCTTCTTTTGGTCTTTTTGCTGACGCTTGGCCTGTCTGGCCGTCTGGCGGTCGGATATCTCCTGGGCAAAGTCCTGCAGGCGCTGCTGCATCCGTACACATTTCCGCCGGAACTTGGCCACCATCAAAAACTGGGCCATGCACTGCCGGCAGATTTCTTGCGGCAGTCCATCGTCGCGATTTATCTGGAAGTGAAAGAGAGGGTGCAAAAATAAATATTCGATTCGTAAAATAAATCATTGTTGGCATTTAAATTGTCATTTTGGCTGCTGAATGATTTGCAGCCTTTAGCTTTCCCTACAAAAAAAAAAGGCTATAAAAAATGCAGCTCGTATATATATGTATATGGAACTGTGAATTTATCGAATTTAGTAAATCAATGAATGGGCAAGTCAATAAAAACTATGCTTTTAGTTTGTCTATACAAATCCTTGAGACAAAGAACTGCTAATTCGAAAAACAAAGTATTGCTTAAATCAGTAATCAGCACTTAAATCTAGAACAAGGCGTTGCGGATTGGGTAAGACTGAACCAATGATATTTACCCATTCAAATTATGATTTCAAAATATCAAATTCTATTCATAGAAACCATTAAGTTTTCCCTAAACGGGTATAGCATATTATCATATAGATTTAGGCAGGAGTTGAATGCAAATAGGCTTTTTAAAAAACTGTTTCACGTGAATTGTGATTAGATAGTAGAGTGGCCTAGTCCAAGCGATTTCCTGTCCATAATCTATACTACGTATACCTTCCCTTTCTTTTTTGTTTCTACTCTGAGCGGCTAACCAAATTATGAATTAATTAACTGACATTGAACGTTGAACAGGCCAAGTCGACAATCTTTCGCTTCGAACGAACAGCGGCAGGCAGCGCGCCAAACCCAGCGATGTTTATTAATGATTTATGGTCGGGCAGCTGGTCGGACGTTCGGTCGGTCGTTAGTACCAAATCCCCCAATCTGCACAGGTGGCGAAGGCGGATCGGATCGGATTGGAATGGATCGTTTCGTATCGGATTTGGGGGGCATTCGTGTGGCAAAAATCGAAAAGCCACACACAAGCACCTTCGTTTTCTGCTGCGATTTGGAGCAAATAATTTGCTTTTGTTTTCCAATTGAGTGAGTCCATTAAAGACGGAGACCAGCAGACCGACCAGCATACCGGCAGGGGCATGCAGCAGGCAGGCACAGGCCATTCAACAAATCATACTGCCAACAAGCCACACAAATCAAATAGCTTCGTAGAAAATAGCGTTTTAATTAGGGTTGCCTAATCTTAAACCTAGGCAATACACCTCTTTTTTGTATTTTGAATTTTTAGTTTGGCCTTAGCCAGTGATGAAATTGTATTCTCCACACGCGACTGCAGTGATTTATAAACAATTGCGTTAATGTGCAGGAGTGGCAAAAACAAAATCAATTAACAAGTTCAAGATCTTTTGGGGCCGCAAAAAAAAACAAAACCAAAAAAAATTAAGGGGGCAAAAAATCCAGTTACTTAATGTGAAAGGAAAGCGTAAAAAAGTCGAAGAATGCTGATACAATTCCGAACATACGTTACCGTCTATAGCGACGACAAAGAGCTGGGTAACGACGACGGGGTAAAAAACCAAAAAAGTCGAAAAAAAACTGAAACCAAAAACAACTGACAACGTGATTTGTTTCGAGATATGTGCTTAGGTTATGGTAATGGCAATACAGTTCCGAAAATGACATAAAACCGTACAAGAGACCGGTCACAATTTATGCAGAGCTCGGCGAAAAGATTCCGGAACGGAACGGAACGGGGGAACTGTTCGGAAATTTGAACGATTTCGAATGCAGATGCCGCCAACAATGCATAACCGATGTGTGGACCACTATTGGATGCGGTGCGGAGAGAGTAGGGTACTAGTACAGTGAAACTGGCCGAAAAAGTCCCAGAAAACAAAAAACCAAAAAAAAAACCTCGGGCAGAGAAAAAAAGAGCAGCAACAGCAGCCTGGTCTGGTCTGGTCCTGGCTATCTGGGCAAAAAGCAGAAACTGACGACAGACGCGACAGAACGGACCGCCGTCAAGTGTAAATGACAATCCAAGTAAATGCCGTCCGGCTGGATCGGGCGGATATATATAGATAAATGTGCATGTGTGACCGAGTGGACCGATGCATAAAATCGACGCAAATGCGTTGCGTACACTGAGATAAATGCCTGTTTGTTTACTTTATCCTCCCCAATAAAAATTCAAATTAAAATTGTATTTGAAAGCTTTTCCGTGATATCCAACTCAATAAGCAAACAACACACCTCAATTTCGAAAAGAAAAAAAATAACATTTCAGCCAGCCAGCCAGATGCTAACGATGCGACAATAAGATTTGCACACACAAGCAACCATTACAATAAACTTTATTATCGACCATCAAGCAGGCGGATAAAAATCAAATTTATCACGCCACAAAAAATACAAGAAACCCCAAAAAAGGAATATAAATATTTTTTCGAATAATTTATATTAAATGCAAGTCATCGAACTACAACAGATTCCAAAGAATTCCCATAGAAGATCTACGGACAATTGATGGTTAGCCGTAAAACATTTTAATTAGCGGCATTTTTCGTACAGCTGATGTGTCCGTCCCCCCAGTGAGACCGAAAATAACCATCATGACAGAAAAATATTATTCTCAGCTCAAGAAAAAATGCAGTCATCAGTTTTTTGCTGTTTTTTGTATATTGTTTTTGTCACAGTTGACTGTTTATATGCTATAAAGTGGACATGACACAAATAATAAAAATATAATATGGTTATTTAAATGTTCGGACATCTCTTAGATCAAAAAAGAGGGTAGACAAAAAGAGGCAAAGGAAGGGAGAGAAAAGGGGTTTTGAGAAAGCAACACGTTGGATGTGCGACTATCACAAGTGCGATATGTAAATGCCATGGGTGGAGCTCAATAAATAACAATCAAAGGTAGCAAGAGCGGCAGCAGCAGCAACAGCAGCTGAAACAAAGTTTAAAAAATGTTTTCAGTGATTTTTGAATGGCTGTGTGTGAAGCGCAAATAGCGGTAAAATGCACACGGAAAAATATGTCGACAAATTGTTAAAGAGTTTCAAGACATATGTTCATATATATATATAGTATATATATATATATATATATATAGCCGACCTGAATGGCCCCTTTATATGCGTTGTCAGCATTGATTGACAGTTAATTATTGTCTTCCATAATCGTTTTTAGCTATGTTTTTTTGTTCATTTTTTAAGTTGACGCATTATTGTTTTGTTTAGGCAAGCCGAAGCGATCTTTAAGTGCCTCTATGAATAGCTAGCCATGTAATTTATTAGCTTCAAATACATACTTAAGTATCAAAGGGTGACAGCAGCAGCAGCAGCGGCAGTATTCAAGGCAAACATTCGCCTTATGGCTTATGCCTCATGGCTTATGGCTTTATGCTGCTCCGCAAAAAGTTCCTTTTGCAGCGCGACACAAAACTATCTGTTCTTCGTATTTGTCTTGCGAAACAGTCAGTGCTGCGCTGTATGCAGCAAGTAATCCAAAGTGGACAAATAACCCAGAAAAGCCACACAATTGAAAGATTAGTTCAAGATAAACGTCGTTCCAGCCAAAGAGCAATAATGATTCCGATTTCCAACCATTGCAGTCGTCCCGTGCCCCGAGGTTCGATTTGTCTTGGCCTCTGTTAGATGTCTGTTGGCTGTTGCCTTGCTAGTTGTACGTTTTATTCCCTCTCACTCACTCTGTTTCTTTTTTTTTCTTTTCGTTTTTTTTTTTTTTGGCACAGACAACTGTTTGCTGCTGCCACCCTTTCTCTTCCTAGTTTTCTCCTAAAGCCGAGAGAGAAAGGTCGGTCTTTCAGTGGAGGAGAAGAAGGGGACGGGCCTTGGCTTAGTTGGATTAGACAAAAGAAACCATCAAACACGCCAGGGAAATTGAGTTAATTTGCACTCGATGTGCAAGTGATTACTGGTAACAAAACCCACCAAATGCCCAAAGAAAGAAATTAAAACAAAAGGCCAAAGCTTGAATAGCGAACTTGTAAATACCCTTTCCCAGACCTTTCACTTTAGAGAGGAAAACAATTTCCATTGATTGTTTCCTTTACCTAAAAACTGAAATATATATATTATAATTTAAGCTACGAGACATTAATCTTGTTAATAAAAATGTATTAAAAAACAATTGCATAACTTTTGCAATTAGAATAATAACAATTGAGAAGCATTTTCAAGATCAGTTAGGCAACAGCAATTGAAAAACAATTCAAGAGACTGCGTGTTTGGTAGGCTTAAAGTTCCGGTATTTAAATGGAACTGTCTATACCTGCAACTGGTTTTCAATGCCCATATACGGAAGGCATCTTGAAAAATGCAAAATTACTTGTGAATTTGAATGCCACCGGGGGTAAAGAACTGATATTGATATTTTTAAAAACGACAATCATCATCAGCATTGGTTTTTTCAGAGTCATTAAGAGACTTGTTTGTTGAAAGATAAAATATCATTGTTATGATATTTTCATAAACAGCCAGACAATGAGATTTTCAGCGGAGTGTTTAAACGGTTTTTAGAAAGAGATTAAATATCATCAGATTGTTGCAACAAAATCGCAATAATCGAAACGGCAATTTACTGGCGGCAGGCGGCGGCAACCCAATATGGTTGCAACAACGGGATTGCTGCATTGAATTGATGACGCTGGCGGATGGGATGGTCGATGATGGTGTTGGTCAGTGGCCCGGGGCTGGTGGCTGGTGGCCAGTGGTGGCCTCTTGGTGGAGCGAGAAAAACGAGAAATTTAATAACCGTAAACTGTTGCAAGAAAGCCGGAGTCATAAATATAGTCGAAACGGGTAAGAGAGTGAGATAATAAATCGCTGCGATCCTAACATAAATTTACATTTTTGATGATGATAATTTTTGTTGCCAAAGGGGGCGGTCAGAGGAAGAGGAGGAAGAAGGAAGATCCACCCCCGCTAAAAATTGCTGCAAATTAAAATCCAAATCCAAAAGTCAACAAGGCGAATTCCCACCCAAGAAAGCAGCCAGGCAGCAAGCCATCCAACCAGCCAGCCACTCAATGTTTAACTAATTAAGAGATGAGCCCCAGAGTTCGGGGTGTGATGTAAGTCCTGTTCTACACGAGTGGAAGGATGTGGGATTAGGATGTGCTCCT